AAGTTGTTTTCAGCTATGGAATAGCGTGGAGAAAAGGAGTTTGAGAGGTGATGTTATCACTCTACAACTCCCTGAAAGGAGGCTGTAGCCAGGTGGAGGTCAGTCTCTACTCCCAGGCCGACAACCACTGACAGGATGAGAGGACAGRGCCTCAGTCTGTGCCAGGGTAGATTCAGATTGGACATCATAAGGAATTTCTTCACAGAAGGGGTAATGGGCTGCCCAGGGAGATGGGGGGTAGAAGAGTTCAAGGAGAGCGGACATGGTACTAAATGCCATGGTCTAGTCCACAAGGTGGTGTTCAATCATTGGTCAGAGTCCAGAATCTAATTGATTCTGCAATTCTGTAAAATGGAGTATCAAAAATTATTGACAGCCTATACCTAGCTTTAGTGAAAACATATAAGCCCCAAACACAGTAAAATTTTAGGAAAATCACAATAAGAACCAATACCAATGATAAAAGAAATGATATGATAAACCATACCTTCCTTCCCAGTGACTGCTTTAACAAAATTCAAAGCAGGGTACGATACATATGTTACAAAACAAAATTAGACCAAACTAAGAAGCCTTTCATGTAYTCAGTCTTATTTTGCTTCATAATCAATTTAATAGCTTTAAAGTAGAAAACACTCTGACAATAAAGGACTTTTTATTTTTTTTTAAGCAAAATGTAAGTGTGCCTTCTTGTAATACAAAATCTAGAACACTAARCATTCTCAAAAATATATAGCTCTGTTGAGAAGCAGTCATTTTCTTGTAACAAAACAAAATGTAACAAACCAAACAACTTCATTAAAGCAGACAATCACAAATTAAGCATGGGAATTTGGAATCAGGATTTATACAACTAAGACAACTACAGGAGGCACTAGCAGGTGTCAAAAAACCCTRCAACATTACAATTCAGTCTTGCTTTTTGTGCTCCTACAAGTCACTCTCTTGCAGCTATTTTATATGTGTTTTCCTTTAAATCCTTAAAAGCAACAAAAACTCTACAATCCAATCTTGTCACAATAGCAAAACTGGTTCACCTTAGAAGCCCCAGACCCTGGAAAAGTCCCATCAGAAACTTCCCTTGGTTCTTCTGATTCCCACAGCAGATGTAGAGTCATTGAACCTGCTCCTTTGTGCAAGTTATATTCCTTCCATTCCTCTCACTTGSCAAAAAATATTCCAGGGATCATCAGTTGTTAAGCAGTGCTTTGAGTTGCACATACTTTGGTCTTTACTCTGTTGAGTTTTGTAGCCAACGTAAATTTAAAGAAAACTTACCCGTTTCCCCACTGTGCCCTACCAAGTGCCTAAACAAATGGAGGGAAGCAGGGAACCAGGCAATGATGGAGAAGGGAACAATTAAATGGAAGGGCTGCACAACAAAGGCTCCATGTGCATAGTAAAAATACTAAAATGTGTTGGATCCATCCAGAAATGCTAGCTTCTATTCATTTGCTCTTCTTTGGAAGTTTGTAAAAGTAGGAGTTTCTTTTTTCGATATTCTTCATTCACCTGCTCTGCTTGCTCATCTATGGATTTTCTTATACATGTTTTGAGCTCTGCAATTCCTTCTCCAGTGTAYGTAGATATTGGAATTATCTCTCTGAATTCAAGAGTATTTGCTGGAATAATTTCTTCCTCTAGTAAGTGTAAGAAGTCTGAAAAATTATATTGAAAGAGTTAGTAAAACCTCCGAATACTACATCACTACAAAGCCAATAAAATCCCATTAAATGCAGAAAATAAACATTAATAAATTATAGTTATAAACATAACTGCAATTAATATACACATTATCAGCTTAATTAGTCTTTTAAACAAAGCTAAAATCTCAGAATACAARCACTAACAGCAGTTATACCATTCTTAGTGCTGTAATAAGAACATTCTATAAACTTCCAACAAGTACAAAGAAATCCCAAATTGCAGAATATGGGAGAATATGGTTTTAAGCCTTTCTAGTTTCTACACATTCTAGGAAATAGAAAGCAAATTACCCCAATGTAATTGCAAAATTGTAGTAAACCCACATAGATCTGTCCAGAAGTTTCACATGTTTAGGCCAAAGTCACATGACAAATAGCATGTATGTCAGTGTCTATAAGGGGTTCTTCTGTGCAGGTTAGTCTTATTTGAGACACCTAGACTGGAAACTTACTCTCCCACATCGTAGTTGGGAAAGATCATCTGGGATATTTCCATTTCATTACAAACCTTTCCCAACAGTGAAGCAATTACAAATGCATATTAACAGYTCTAAATACAGGAAGTGATTTTAAACCTATGTTCAAATAATAAATTTAATAGCTGACTTCAGTTTCAAACAACTCCCTGCCAATGCAGGGTTATCACAATGAAATCCTTCTATTTATGACAAAATTATTGCTGGAATTTGATTTACCCTGAGGATTCTGTAGTTGTGTCATAAGTTCATCCAAGTTATCCTTTGCACAAGGCAAATCAATTTTATTAATGGCAAGAAGTGCAGGCTTTGTTACAAGTTCCTCTTTGTACAGCTCCAGTTCCTTAAAAGAAAAGCAAATTTCCCTTAATAAGTACTTGCAATTTAACAAGTGCTACTTCAATTTTACATCTCCTCTCATTTGTTTAGTTGCCTAAAGAGCCTTTTCTGCTTAAGTAGCTATAAGGTTGATTCAGATACTCGAAGCTGATATATTAAAGCAGTCTGACAGAAGAAAATAATGTTCAGTGAATCATTTTTTGCTGCAAGAGAGATTTTCAGGTACACAGGCTAGCTCACTCTGAAACAGCCTCTTAAAAAAAAAAGACAGCTTCAATTTTTGTTTATTCTGATATCCACAAACACAAAATCAATTTCAGAACAACTTCGGACCTATAAAATATATAAGAAAATCATTTKGAGAGTGTTCTAATTCTTAAGCATTTTAATATCAGAAAATCACAACCATGAATATACTAAAAATAAACAGCAATACCTGAAATTCAGAAGATTCATCAACTTAAGTAACACAGCATGTTATGAARTGACATAATGTGTATTGTTTTAATGAGAAACATAGTTAAGATATGGACACAGTGAATGTCTGCAAGGCTGGGGCCTGATATCTCACCTCTGTTAGGCTATTGCATCAAGGCAGGGATTTAACTATACCCATGTATTTCTGCTTCTTAAAATGCTATTGTGTCAGAAAACCAAAAATGATGTGTCTTTTTACCTTTACTTGACTGTAAGAAATATCCCATATGCTGCACAGATTAATCAATTATATGATTAATTATGTGGTGGGTGCCAACAGAAACTAGAGTGGTTTCATCTGGACAAGTAAAAATAAAGACTTCATCATTTTGGAGAATCCTCTTAGTTAACTGGCCTTATAAATCCAGAAGACACACTAACATTTGACCAGTTTCTTGATCAAAACTGAGCCATTYTCTTGGTTCAACACATAACCACAACTGTCAAATATGAAAATCAGAACTTACCTTTGTTAGAAGCAATATAGTTTCAAAGGCTGTTCGGAACTGAGTCTTAACAGACAGCTGAAATCCAGAAATATCAACCTGAAAAAGTTASATAAAAACAAGCTTTGTGGTATAAAATTATGTTACAGTTTCAAGGTACTCTCCCATCAACTACTGGGCCCTGGAATGTTGGKGTCCATGTGTTCACTCCTGGGCAAATTATAGACGGCAACTATACACAAAAGAAACATCACAGACATTGAAGATACAAACTGGCTACTTCTGATACAGTGTTTCTCAAAGATGTGCTATTTAAACTTCTTAAAGGGGTGTTACAGAAAAAAAAAATCCACGCTTTCACACTTTAGTTATGCTTCATTGTTCTAAATTAATTGAAAATTTTCTATGATAAATTCTGCTTAAGAATTTAATTTACCATCAGTCATTTGAGTGCCCCATTCTGTAAATTACAGAACTACAGAATTAAAACTATATTTATCTTAAATCATGCAAATTACAAATGATTTYTTAAATTYCAACTACATTGCAATTAAGACACTTTTTATTTACTGCTCTGCCTTTGATTTCAATAAATTGTAAATTTTATTTAACTTACAACTAAGAGAAGCTGTTTGGTTCTTTCTACATGTTTGAGAAATTTGTGGCCCATCCCTTTGTTTGCATGAGCTCCTTCAATCAATCCTGGGAGATCAGCTACTGAAATCTAGGAAAACAAAAGTTTCAAACAAAATACTTCCAATAAGCAAATCCAGAACTTTAAACTATCAACAGTGATTATCATTTTACAGAAACAAAAGTGAAACAGAAACAAAACTGAGTCAAAGCAATATGCATTAGCTGTTTCAATACATTTACAACCTATCATTAGAAGCAGATTAAACAAAACACTGCTGTTACACAGACCTGGTGCTCCCCATGTTCCCCCTGTCTATTTATAGCTGTCTGCAAAGTACAGAATAGAGGGTAATAACACCTCAGCAGAGATCTTGCAAAATTTAGCTCTTATCTGAGAATAAAAGACTCTGAAAGGCGATCAGCTTAGATTATCACATTTGTACTGGAAAAGAAAATAAAGCCTGTTCCTTGTGGCTACAAAGTATCATTACTCCAAATGCAAACCCACTTAACATTGTGCCATTGCACAGGAGAAGATACCAGAATTTAACTTTGATTAATCAATCAGCTTCCAGCCAGAGCCTAGCAAAGACTGCCAAAGTAGACAGGGACATTGTCATTTTCTCTGCTGGTTGAGAGGGCTGTACACAGTTGTAGAGGAGAGCTGAGGCAGACAGGAAAAGAGCAGAATAACAATGAGACCCCCAAAATACCTACTCAGTAACTCACAGAAAACTAAGASAGTGAAGTAAAGAAGAATAAAGGTAGGTTCTTCAAATCCATCTAATGCCCATTTAGACAGCAACTGGATTCAACTGAACAATGCCTGAAGYCAGCACACCATAAAATTTCCAGTGTGCTACCTATTGCAGAAGGGSGCTCACATAMTCYRGCAGAAAACRTGTTTCTGYTAGTTTTCGTGACCTAGTACTGAGMCCTGAAACCCAACTCATACTCAGATCCTCTCCTTTTGTGTCTTTTCTCTTCCAAGTAGTAATGACAGACAGCACCAGGTAACTAGCATGTATTTTCTTTTTCATAATGTACTAAGATAAAATAAGCTACATATCTCTTTAAAAATATCAATATTCTATAGGAGAAAATGAGTCATTGACCCTTGAGTGATACAGGAAAGATATCTCAATTACTCCTCTTAATTATGCTACTTACATGGTTTTGGTTTCAGCAGTTGCAATATAGAGAGTATGTCCTCTAACTCAGGGATGTTCCCTGTGACCACAACCACTAGTTCCCTCAACTTTAGAAAAGTGGTATTTTGTCCGTATAGTTCCTATATAGCACCCAACACTGTGGTATATAAACCATGAACAGTAGAAATGGCCAACAATAAGGATCACTGGCTATGACAAGAAACAGACTTCAGCAAAGAAATCCAGGAGGGCAAGTAGATCTCTTGCTGGACAAAGATACACCAGTAAGAGCAAGAGGTCCTCATTCAYGGCAGAAAGTTTTCTGAAAGGGCTATGAAAAATCCTTTATTTTAGGATTTATTTGCAGCACAGCATTCTAGGATAAGATGCCCTAAAGTAGCAGATAAAACTAATACAAAAAAAAATCCCTTAGACAGATTGCATCTCTATAGGGAACCAGAAAAACTAGACTTACTTCCTGTAATACAAAGTTTTGTTGAAGTTTGTTAAATGAAGGTCTCAAGCATTATCTCCCTAGCATTATTGTTTTTGGAAGCAAAAACATTAGCTTTTTGTCTTTTCATATCTGAGGGTTATGTTTTTCTGGTTAACTCATCTGAAACCCTTTTATGCACTCGCCTTTCATCTTGAAAGTGATGAGTCTAGTGCTGCATGTATCATGTACTTCAAAAACGAAGTAAAAGCATATCAAAGAAGAATCAAGCTTGAGTAATGAAAATGTTTGCTGCAACTTTAAGCAAAGTTGGGGTCCAAAATCTGTTAGTAAGAGTCTCATTTAGCATTGTTTTTCCCCTCAGTGGATACTGCCGAAGGGATTCCAGGCACCACAGAATTATTTGACAGCTTTTATCTGAAGAAGCTGAGTGGAACAGAGTTCACAAAAATTAAGGTGGTAGGGCCATAGCTCCACTGGTCTTCCAGAACTAACAGATACCACAAAGAGAACTGAACCCCAGTGCCTCACCTCTCMGACAGTGCACTATCCTAGCTGTTCMGGCAATCACTACCACATCTTACTATTTTAAACTAAAAAACCCAACCCACCAACCAAAAAAACCCCTATACCCTAAAAACCAAACCAAACAAACTGAAACCCCACAAACACAAAAAGAATCCCAAAAGAAAGTCAGAGCAGCCAACCTTGAAAGCCATAACAAGAAGTAATGGTAACATATAACAATGTACCAATGGTAACAATATTACCAATGGTAACAATGGTAATATAATCACAAAATTCCCTGCTATTCACTAATGTAGATCTTCAACCCTTGTACAAATATGCCACTATTTGCAATCCATTCTGAAAATTACTCACTCAGTCCAGAGCTCTCTCTATAGGCAACTTGCAGAAAATTTGCTTCTTTTAAATAAAAGTAAGAGGCTGGTCTCTCAAACAGTGATTTTTTTTTCAAGTCTTAGACTTACAAGAGTATACCTAGAAYCCAGCAATCTCAATTCCATAAGCAATTTCATACCTCTAAGATTATAAGGCAGGATTAGAACCATAGAAAGGTAAGGGAAAATGAGAAACCATTTATAATAAGCTCTCTGTCACATTAGTGTATTTAGCTATGAAACTTTCCTATTATTGCTTCATAAAATAGTATTTTCCCACAACTCCTGTTAAGTCCGTGTAATTACATTTGACAAGTACACATTATAGATACACGTATGAAAATATCGACAAGTTTTTGTTCTGTTTCTGAAATTCTGTTAAGCAACATAAATAGCCACTCTACATAACYTTAGCAAACAGAGTGACTTTCATACCAACCTGCTTATAATCCGCATACATGATCTTTCCTAGTTCAGGCTGTATTGTTGTGACTGTGGCAAGGGTACAGGAAGAAAACAAAACTGGTTTTAACATTTTAAAAAATGTTAATGTTACAAAACATTTACATATTGTAGGACTTTCTTAGTGTATTTAAATGAAACAAATGTGCATTGGCAGAATATAAAATAAGGAAAAAGAATAAAGAAAAAGCAAAATAAGACAGATGAAAATTAGACCACAAAAAATCCAGTGGTTCACCAAGTCTTGTCTCTTTCTGCAATTCTATTCCAGTCATCCCAGAACAGTAAAGACAGAGAAATCTCAGACATGAAAATTATTACCTATACTTATGGATTAGCATCCAAACAGGGAAAACCAATGAAAGGTAAAGTGAGGTAGGACTCTTCAAACTGAGAAAAGGCTGTAGAGAATTGGGAATGGTGCAAAAAGGTCAGCAGGAGTTATCAGTACTTGCATTCTTACTTTTTAGTTAAAGAAGATCAGACAACTAATCCTAACTTACTGATAGAAAAAAATATATTCTGTCTATTTTTCAATGGATAGATTAAAACCTCCTAATCTTCTCTGTTGCAAGTGTTAGCAAATTCCAAAGCATACGAGATGTTTATGCAAAGGAACTTTATAGTACCTATTTAGTAGACTGAAGATATTACACACCACACAGAATCTCAGTTGCAATAAAATGGGCTGAGATGAAATCAAATGTTAAATAGACCCTGCATTGACAGGTTGAAGCAGTAAGGGGATGTGTATGTGAAAAACTGAGGTGGGTAAAGGAACTGGACTCCAAAACAGCAAGTATCTCCTTGAAGTATTTCTTATAACTAAAAAGCCAGGAAACATTGCTATACACTATTCTTTATTACAAACCTGTATTATAAGTAAGTCAATGAAAAGACTTCTTGCTTTCAGGAAATATTATTGCTTTAAAAATAAGACTATGAACTTACATGCATAATTTGCAATCTGAGGTTTGGCATGAGAGATCTTGCTTAACAAGGATGATTTTCCCGCATTTGGAAACCTAGAAGGAAAGTCAGGACTTATACACTGAATAAACACCTATGTGATTATACTTAATCTGTATATTTTATCTGTATATTTATTTCTAAATGTATTCTTCAAATTCTGTGCTATCAAGTATTTTTGCACTCAATCTGTTTGGCCTTTTTTTAACAAAAACAACAAACCCCAAATCATTATGATTTACTTTTTGATACCAAATCTGAATAGTTTTTCTAAATCTAAGAACACTTCCTAACAATGCAGGCAGGAGAGTTATGTAAATATATGTGTAATAGATTTAAGGGAAATCTTTCAAAGTCACTYAGACAGAAATACAGCATTACCATCCAGGCACATGCTATAGCTAATTTTGTAAATTATACATGCATTCTAAAAAAACTATCATGCAAATACATCTTGGATTTACATTCTCTTGGCATACACATCATGGTTTATGAGTGTTGTACAGTTTAAGTACCGTTGATACCCATACTACAGTCTAGTTAACAGAGGAAAGCAAATGTAAACTTTGAGAGAGATTTTATGTATATAGACAACCGTGTGCACAGGTTATGTGTTTCTAGGGCAACAAAGTTTATGAAGGATCCTGAAACTGGTACTAATCTGTTTTGTTACCAAGTAAACCTAAAAAAACAYCAGGGAAGCCCTAGAAGCTAGTCTGTGCATACCTGACTGCTGTAATGTTTTCCCTTTACAAGGGATAGCTATATCTGTATACTACAACAAAGGTGTTCCTTAAAGGATAGAGCTTTTACAAAAGCTTCTTCACAAAATCCATCTGCACATTGAAACGGAAACCTAAGTTAAAACTGAAATTGTTTTAAAGATTAACCCAAGCTTTAGAAGTCACAGTAGCCTTGATTCATGTTAAACTTGAAGTTAATGCTGACATCCAAGGACAGACTACAGTTCTTACTGTTAGCACATGCTCCATCCAGAAAGACAACACAAGACTTGTGCTCCAGACAAATTCATAAATATTCGTCACAGCATTTTCAAAGAAAACTCTGTCTACAGGCAATTGAACACAGCCACAAGATACAAAAGCAGGCGTCCTACAGAAAACCAAATACTCTGCACTTGAATAYGTGCAGAACCATGGCCTGTTAACAAGGCTGGTACTACATTACAGGCCTCTATAGAGGGGCAGTACACGAACCTTTCTTAAAAAAAAAGAAAGCAACCTAATGACTCTTTCTGTAATAGGGAAACTATTGAGTGTAGTTTTAATACACTCCAACGTTGAAAGGTACCTAAAGGATATTCCAGAAGGTTACTCTGGTCATATCCTCGAGTGAGCACTTTGTCTCCACTGAGGTACAATATGTTCTTTGAAGTTTAAATTGCAGCCTAGACTAACACATCACAACCTGTACCCAAACCTGATCGGCCTTTCTCAAGTCTAATGGGTTTTTTTACATGATCTAATAGCAAACCACTCACAAAAAAGGTAAAAATGACAAACATAAAGAGATCAAAGTACAACCACAAACTATTGGAGACTGATTCATACTCTCAATAAGAAAATTACATGCTGCTCTAAGTGACTAAATGATTTTTTGTATCCATTTGGAAGTCAAACTATCARCTAAAGTACAAGATAAAAGCATCAGTGTCATAAAACTCCTGTACTTTCACACTGGCCAAAACAAGAAAAAAATTATGTCAYGTAGTCATTGAAGACCAATTGAAAATTATTTAACTTTAGATAGGTTTTATGTTAACAAAATTGTTTCTAATAAGAAGATAAAGAAAAATATACCTAGAAAACCAGCTGCTTTTAAGTCTCCATTCTTTAGTGGTATATATCAACTAGACTATTTCTACCTCAAGCTCATTGTCATTCCATGTTTCCTATGTTTTTATAAATAAGGCCCACAGAGCTCATCTATGTTAGCAGATGCTGAACAGAACAATAGTTGTACAAGTGTAGATTGTTGAAAGCTTTTTCCAAATAAAAATATAAGTTATCTGTATTGTTCTAAAGCAGCAGCATTGAAATGCAAGTCCTACTATTCTAGTTTGTAATTACTTCCTTCTAACATTTCAAGCTGGTTTTTTTTGGGAGAGCAGACAACATAGCCTTTGGAATTCTCCTTAGAACTGCTACTGAAAGGATCCACTTGTGCCAGAGCCATGAAGTTAAACATGCAATACGGAATGCTCTCAGCTCTGTTTTGCACCTCCTACTTACTTCATAAATATTGTGGCAATCACTGCATCTGCTAAATACAATYATATTACTAATTTTATATTATCCTGGCTCATGAAGACCTTTACTCAAAGCATAAAAATAATTTCAAAATGCTAAAATTATTTTCAATAATTGTAAACTCAATCTGCTTTTTTCAAAGTTCARATAATTTAAGTGACATTGCAACTCTCAAAATGCTTTGAAATTGCATTTGAAATTTACTTTTTCTTTGAAAGTGCATTTGAAATTGACTTTGCTTTCTAATACCAGCTTTCAAACTACAATACTTACCCAACTAAGCCAACATCTGCTATAAGTTTCAAATCAAGATGAACAGTTCGCCTCTGACCTTTACAAGGCAGAAAGTTAGTAGCCAAAGAGCCTCCAGGACCTCCACGAGCTGCTAAGAATCTCTCTCCTGCTGCATTAAGCTCTCCTGAAAATAAATAGTGAAAGAACACAATCTCCTGCASTAGTTCAGTTGTGATTTTCCATTTAAATATCTCCAGTTATGAGACAATTTTTTGTATGCTTCCCTGCAAGAACTGTGCCCTCAAGGTCATGGTGATCTTCCCTGTTTGGAAGCCATCACACCCCAGTATTTTTCTCTGTCATGCAGTCAGCTACCTCAAGAAAAGTGCAGGCAGGCAAAGTATGGCCCAGATGGAGGTTCTGAAGCCTCCAACATTTGAATTTAAGAAGCCAAGAAAAAATTTGCATTGACAAAGATGTGGCTACAGCAAACCCTTCAGATGTTCCATATTTTTCCATTAAGGTGCAGACTATGATATTACCCTTAGGGTCAGAATAATTAAAACAACCAAAAATGCACAACATTTGGATAGCTTTAGCCACTAATATGCCTACATCATAAACATCCAATTTAGTTAAACATCCAAGCCATGGCAATTTGTAAATTTAGTCTTAATTCTGAACAGTCTGAGAAGAAAAATTCTTGAGAAACTGCAAAGGAACCATTGAGAACTATTTTAAGAGCACTGTATTGAAAGAGATCTTCCCAATGGGTGAAAAAACAGATACGTATTTTAAGCAACCTGAAATGTTGACATTCAGCAACGATCTTTGTCTTCTAAACATTTTCATATTTCACTAAAGATACAGGGACATATACTTGGTGTTTAGAGACACCTTTTACATGAGGTCATCAATGGTTCTGTGGAGGATCAGTATGGTTTCCAGCCTTTAAAACTCATTTCCAAGGGCAAAGGACTTGTATGTAGTGATACAAACCAACTACTGCTGATTTCTGGAAGAGGTCCCTGTTCTTCCAACAATTTCTACARTGTATTTGTTTGTCAACTCTTTGTCCAGAGAAAAATACACACATATTTTGGAAAATGTAACCTTAAAACGTCCTAGGATTTGAAATACACTGGATGTTATCAAGAAATGTGACAAACAGTAGATAGCTTAAAAGCAAATGTTCTTACCAATCTGCTTGCCATCATCATCGAGAACTGAAATTCCCATAGGCACATAAACTTCACAATCTTTTCCTTTTTCACCTTTTAGAGCTCGAACACTGGGAGGAATTACACCAAGTTTAATAACTATTATTTGTTTTCTGGAAGAGCTGTAAATAACAACTTTAATTAAACAGTCTCTTACCTGCTGTTGGCTCCTGTTCCAGCTACAAATCGCTTCTGGGGATATTTCTCCCTAATGCTCTTTAAGGTAGTCCTTTCTCKGGCGACGAACCAGACATCACCACCTCTTCCTCCTTCCCCTCCCAGATTAGGGTAACCCATTCCACCAGTTCCTCCTCTCACATACACCCGCAGATCGTCTATGAAGTTGCTGTACTAATAAAACAACAGTTTCAACATCAATTAATTATGCTCCGTTAATATTTCGCTTCATAGAAACGTGTGTAAAACCGCTTGGATAGATCTTTGATGGCAATAAATGAAACTTGAGAAAGCAGAGCGTTAACCTCCGATACAGTTTTTAACCAATGTTTGGCATGCCCTCCCTGGCAGCGAGCACCTCACGGCGCGCAGTGCGCGGGGCCGGGCCGGAGCCGCGCCTGTGCCGCCACCGGGGGCATTGCCGCCGGCCTCGCCGGGCACCAGGCACTGCGGGCGGGACAGGACGGGCCGAACCTGCGCCGCCCGGCACACGGGAGCTCCCAGAGAAACCCCGGGAGCGAGACCATGGCTCCCCGCCACCCCCGCCGCCGGCCGAGCCCGCCTGGGCCACAGTGTGCACCGCTGCCCGGGCCGGCCGCACTGACCTTGCGCAGCACCGCCGCGCCGCACCGCACCATGGTGGAGCGGCCGCCGCCCGAACCCGGCTGCCAGCCCCGGCCCACGCCCCGGTGGCCGCGTGTAGGACACGGGACAGGAACACGGGCGAGCTCCGGGACCGCACGGCGGAGCAGAGAACCGGCCCCGCTSCGGCCCCGCGGATGCGCAGGCGCGGCCCAGCCCGGCCCTGCCGCGGCTCTCGCTGGGCCCGCCGGCTGCTCCGAGCTCAGGCCCGCCTGCACCAACCCTCCCTGCCCATCCGGCTGAAGGGCGGCAGCAATAACGAGATATCCAGAGGCAGAGAGAGAGAGAACAAATCGCCCGGAGAGTTACAGAGCATGAGAAGGAGGTCCTGCCTTACTCGTGCAACAGATCTTTCTCAAACGAAGGACCCCAAGCAAAGGACTGCCTGTGCTTTTATCGCGCACTCCGGGGTCTTCCCGTTCAGTCGTCGGCACCTGTTGTGTCACCTGTCTAAATTGTCACCAGCTGTGTCTCGTGTCCCCTTGTTGGCTAAAACGGGCTCACCTGAAACAGAGGCCAGACAAACTTATAACAATGGGAATAGACAACTKTAATCCAGGCCAACTGGTACATTGGGGCAGACAAAAGCCTCCTGAAACTACACCCACAATGGATACCGAATCTCGAGATCTTCACCTTTTATAAGTTCTGTGTTATTAACATATTGAGCCTCAATTTCCCAATGATACTTTCAGGTGGTGATGTCAACCACTCCAAACTTGCTCCCCACCAGCTCACTTTTATGTATTTTGGGGCTCTGAGTCAGCGAGGTGACCTTGGATTCAGGCTCAGAGAGGAATTATTTTGTCTAAAGATGGRAGAATGGTAGTTTTTAGTACTGTAATMGAGAAGGATGAGAATACAGATGCATGAAAATATAGAAACTAAAAATCATRAGGCATCACCCTGGCTGGTGCCACAGGTCCCTGTACCCTTTGTACGGGATTGGTGCCAGTTCACGGCCTTTAGAATCCAGMTGTGGGAGGTGCAACCACCAACTCATGGACCACCAATTCAAAAGAAGAGAAACTGAGCATGTGGACTAATTAGTGTAGGAAAGGAAATAATTATTTAAGCAACAGAAGGTGGGAGACTAATTAATGACTAGATAACTTGTAGCCAGTGAACTATGTTTGTTTGCTAAAATGCATATATCTTGTAAAGTTTTGAGAATYGGTGTGCCTGATTTGTGGAAAACTTCCACCTTGCACCTTGTATAAACTGTGTCTCTTCTCTAAACCTGGCTCTGTCCATGTTAAGAGAGTGTCTAAACAGGCAACAATGGAAACACTTGATGGGAAAGCACAGCCCCAGCTGCAGGATCTGCCAGATTTTGGTCAACATCAGCAATCTCCAATGCCAAGTTCTCCTGGGAAGCTGTGACAGCTCAGGACAGCATCTGCTGTTAGCTGTCCCCATGTTGTTGGACCCTTTAAAAGTTGTTGGTCATATTACTGGTGTGTTCTCCCTCAAGAAATTGAGGCCTGATCTTTAAATGATGCTAACTTTCCAGATAAGCGTGACTGTTGAAAATACATGGCCTTAATAAGGATGCAGTGCTTTCATTTTTAAAATGGTCATGAAGAAGAAGTAATTTTGTAAATTGTGGTCAGATTAAAATTGATGAAAAAAAAATCATAGTTATAGAATGGCTTGAATTGGAMGGAACCTTAAAGATCATCTAGTTCCAATCCCCCTCCTTCARCTAGACCAAGTTGCTCCAAAGCCCTGGCCAACCTGGCCTTGAACACTTCCAGGGATGGGGCATCCACAACTTCTCTGGGGAATCTGTTCTAGTGCCATACCACCCTCACAGTAAAGAACATTTTCTATATATCTGACCTAAATATCCCCTCTTTTGGTTTGAATCTATTGCCCCTTGTACTGTCACTATAGTTCCTAGTAAGTCCCTCTCCAGCTTCCTTGTAGGGCCCTCCACATACTGAAAGGTTACTATGAGGTCTCCACGCAATCTTCTCAAGGCCARACAGCCCAAATTTTCTTGGCATGTCTTCATAGGGAAGGTGCTCCAGTCCCTTCAGCAGCTTCATGGTCTCCTCTGGGCAAGGCTGTTTGTGCTTCTCACCCCACCAGTCAGTGACAGTGAGTTCATGGGAACCTGGRAGGGGACACAGCGAGAACAGCTGACCCCAACTGAACAAAGGAATATTCCATATTATGTGGCATCATGATCAGTAATAAAAGCCAGAGAAAGAAGGAAGGGAAAATGGTTTGAAGTCATGTTGTTTCTCTTCCCAAGTCACTGTGACCTGTGRCTGAGCCCTGCTTTTCTGGAGACGGCTGAACACCAGCCTGCCCATGGGAAGTTGTGAATTAATTTCTTGTTTTGCTCTGTTTGCTGCAGAGCTTTTGCATTCCCTATTAAATTATCTTTATCTCAACACACAAGTTTTCTCACGTTTACTTTCAATTTTTCCCCCCATCCTSCTTGTGAGGGAGTGAGGGAGTGGCTGCATGGTGCTTAGTTGCTGGCTGGGACTGAACAACACAAGGAAGTATCTCAGGAGATGGATTTCATTTAAAGTAGGAAGGTATTAATGTCATTGTTTAAGGCCCTGGTAAAATCTCTGTGAAAATGTCTAATCATTGTTCTATAGCTAAGGCTGAACTAAAAGAGAGCTGGAGGGAAGTTAGGTGCATCACCAGAGAGCCTGAGAGCCTTTCATTAGAGCAGGTCTTAGGATGGCTCAGCTTGTTTACTGCAATTAAACTAAACCAGAGAGGAGACCCAATGCTGTCTATAAATATATCAGGGAAGTAAACATGAAGGATAGAAACCATTTAATTTGAGGGGAAAAGACACAAGAACAAACAGATATGTACTATTCAGTAATAAATATATCAGGAAATTAGAACAATATTTTTAGTTATTRCTGCAATCGAATTATGAATCTGCTTTTCCATGGAATTAGTGGGAGCAAAAAAATTTCTGTTTTTAATATGGCACTTGATAAATTCATGAGGTGATTGCACAGCAGAGCTTTTGTGGTGGCAGGGAATTAGGCTATGTCATTCAGGAAGATATTCCTGTTCAGTGTTACCATGCCAATTCATGGAACAAACAGCAGAACATTTTGTCCAGATTTATGATTCATAATATGGGAAGGATTTGTCAGTTTCCTCTGAATTGTAGGCAAGGTTCAGAAGTCCTTAGAAATGTGAAAGTTAGCGTGTGACTTCAGCAAAACATATAATGTGGTCATTCGATAGAAATAAATAGAAAAAAGGAGATAAGCAAAAGAACTTTTAAGTGAGATGAAGAAAGCACAAGTAAGTTGCAGATGGTTTTTCGAGGATCCAGTCATAGGCCCAGAGCTCTCTGTGGATACCGACACAAGTATGTATCAAATTACACCCTGGTTTTGTGCCTTGTTCTGCTTTTGTGGTATATACTGTTTGAATTTAGTCCTTAGAGATTTAATGATTACAACTGTTGAGAGCAGCTGGCACTGAGGCCGGTTCACCTAGCAGAGCCTTAAACTCAGTGTGCTGAACTTGCTGAACACAGCAGGACGTTAATGGGTTAATGTGTGGCTGGCTCCGAGATGCCAGCAGAGCTACTAACCAGTGTTAATTCAGCTCATGTAATCAATCCATAACTTGACCTCAAAAAAGAAATGAAGAAGGGCTGCTCTCCTATATGAGTTGAAGGTGTTACATTGACAWAACACTAGATTTGTTTCCAGAGAACAAGCTTATGCCAACAAGCTCCTGTCAGCAGGCACTTAAGTAACATTCCATTTGAAATGTGGCATTGTGCGTTTTCTGGACCTTTTATAAGTTAAATGGCTCATCACACATACACGATGGTATGAATTACTGAAACAGAATCRTTTAAAATTCTGAAGTTTGAGGATATTTAGATGTTTCATTGTACAAATACCTTACTTCAAAAATGTATCTGGTCCCCTGAAGAGACTCCTTGTTTACAGGGCAGGACTGATTCTCTCCTAGGACCTTTCTCTCCTAATTTGTACTGGCTGTGTTGAACTTCATCTTTATTTACAGGGCTGTGAGCACTTCACTGTCAAGCCTGATGGCAGAACATCACTCTGTCATTTCTTTACTTCAGAAGCTGCTAATCAGTGATGCAGAAAGTGACTCAATTCTTTATCTTCAGTGAATCAATCCTGTTTACGTACAAGTGTGCCTATGTCACAGAGACATCTATAATTCAGTCACAAAAGGCTGGTGGCATTTTAAAGGTCCCTAAACTAATTTATRYGTAGTCAATGCATATTCTGAGTTTYACGATAAATAAGGCTTCATTTCCTGCCCTGTTATTATTACTGTGTACTTCATCTATTTGTATATGATTGCTTGAAAATCACAAGTGTACAGCTACCTCAAATCACAGTTTCACTGCTCTGTATCTTTTCTCTCTTGATATAAATTACCAAGTAGTCTACAGTTATCAACTCTAACAAGAAGAAGCCATACAATCTTTTCATCCAACAATTTTAAAACTTCCACCAGCAGTTTTTTAAAGTTTGTGCTGTTTTTCTCAGTCTAGAAAAGAACTATGATGGGAATAAGTTGAAAATAAGCTGCAATATTTTAGCAACACTGCTTTTTTTTTTAAAAGTAAAGTTGACATAATTTAAAAAAACAAAAGTAAATTGTTTCCTCGCCTTTCTAAACATGTGCATGGCTGTTAAATTGACATAAAGTCTTTCTAATTGAAAGAAATAACTTCACCAACATACCCAAGGTCCAAATGTTGCAAAATATTGATGTTTTAACTCTTAAAGTTTTATGGAAAAAGATAAAGCAATTTAACCAATACCAAGGATACACTCTTTAGTACAATAAAGTCCCACTAGATGGAGRGACCTCAGCTGCAATAGTCCAAGGAATAAGCTGAAGTACAACATTTAAAATGCATGCTATAGAAAGGCTATCAATGTTGGAAGAATTTTGAAGGAAACGTTTTATTTTGTCCAGATTCGACTGTCAACTGAAAAAATAAAAATCATAGAAATAGGCATTTTTACTTTGAGTGAAATGAGCCATCTTATGAAATTTAGTGTCAAGCTGTGCTGAGTCTTTGGGTTTGTATATGGCATTTGCTGCACCTTAGGAATTTTTTCTGAAACCCTGCAGAATGAAGAACACAACACATTTTCTCTAATCCCATTTATACTTAGTCACTAACAAAAAAAAACAAATAATAAAAAAAATCTTTAAATCTTCCCATAGTACATGGATAGGTTCTCTGCTTTAAGGACTTTCCCCTTCAGCCCAAGACCTTATATAGCTTTCAGCTATGTTTACAAAGGTGGTCACAGATTGATTTTTCTTGACTTTCCTTGACCTTTCTTACTCTGAAATAGAAATTTTAATAACTATCTTACTTAATAAGCATGATCAGTGCCTATCTTCATGATGCTTCAATCCTACAAACATCATGTAACATTCCACAGGATTATTAGTTGCCAAGAATTTTGCTCTCTGCCAACTTAAATTCATGAGTTCATCCTTGTTCCAGGTGACGTTCTCCCACAGGTGATGATCCCTCAGTGTGACTGACAAAGTGCATAACATCRGAAAGGAAAATAAAATATAAAAATAACAGCCTTCAGAAGCTTTTTCATTTGGAGATGTGATTTTTCTAGGTATTATCAATGATTTTTCACATAAATAGATTCCTAAGAGCACATTGTTGATCAGGTGGCATTTTGAGAAGAGGTATTTTTATTTAAAAGGGTTTTCCCAACAAAGGTCTATTCCTTAACATTTTGATTTCTATAGTTGTATTCTGTGAATACCTTATTTTAAGTTAAAAATGGTGGCTTTAACTAGAAAAAGGAAAAGCAAGAGGAGAGGGATAAAAATAAAACTGTAGGATGAAAAAATGTGATCAAAGGCTGCCGTCAGCGGCTGTTGGAGTAGAATGAAATCACTGTGTTTGCACCAGTATCCTGTGCTACTACACTTAGATGCTTTAAGTGGGAATGAAATSAGAAGAAGGGATTGATGCTGTGGCCAAACAGCTGTCAACTGCTCACCTCTTTACATGCCTTTAAATGCCTTTGAAATTTTGGCTGTTTCACTGTGAGATTGACAACACTGATAAATTCGATAATGCATAAAGCAAACAAAAAGGGAACATTTTCTTAACTTGAAAACTTACCGAATCCTATTTTTTATTAGTGACATAAAGAAGCTCGCTTAAAGGCAGTTTCCTTGTACAGCTTTCCTAATGCTTTAATCTCTTTGTTATGAGCATTGCCTTAGAATTTCAAGGACTAATTACAAGTAACAGAGCTTTAGCTCCTTTCAGTGATTCAAGGAAGCTAACTGTATTCCAGGATTCCAGATATTTTCTTCTATTTACCTGTATAGGTTCAAACATGGCTTACTTTTTGAAGCAAGATTTTCAAATARCATTGACATAGCTTAGCTTAGGAAAGGCTTGCAGAAGACACYTAATTATTGTGAACATTGTCGTTTCAGAGCAGATTGGTTTTGTGATTAAGTACTGTGTATATTTGTTGTTTTACATTTGCACTTGAAAGAACTGACTGTTCATGTTGAACTCCACCAAAGCATGTTGTGAAACCCTAACAGACCAAATTTTACTACATATTTATACTTTTTCGTTACTTTGAACATTGTCCCTGCATGTTCTGGTGGGCAAACAGGAACATGAATGGGGTGGGCAAACAGGAACATGAATAGGTTTATGAAATGGGAGTTTATTAAATGAGAGTGTTCATCTTCCTAAATAGGAGCAAGATTTGCTGTCCATAGTGTTTTCCTCCCTTTGACAGCCTCTGCCTCCCCTCTTCTCTCACGCAAGACACCCCCACTCCCGGAGGCAGTCTCTCCAGGTGAGGCCCCAGCCCAGCCTGGGCTGACACTGGGTGCTGCTGCAGAAAGAGGTGGGGCTGCCACAGCCACAGCTCCCTCCACCCTTCCACAGACCTGAGTTCAGCTGCTGCTGCTGCTGCTGCTGCTGCTTTGCCAGTGTCAGAGTCATCCCTGTGCAGTGTAACCTTGGAATCCTTGGAGCATCCAGCAGCTGCCAGGCACTTGCAGCCCTCTCATGAATTTCTTTCTTTTTCTTCAAGTGGCTGACTTCTGTTTTCCAAGGCTACTGTTTTCCATTTCCTCACAGAAACACTGTAAGTACAACTTTTGCTGTGGCTCTTTAGTTACTGCCTTTGTGAAATTCATCTCTTTTGTACTGAGTAGTAGGTGTTACTAGTTCAAAATCTCTGTGAGGTTTAGTGTGGTCTCTGCTCCTGTTTGTGGTGTTCAAATGGACGTTTAGCATTTCAGTTTTTAGTTGGATTAAAACATGAAATCAGAAAAACTCAAAATTTTGGWGGTGCCCTRRYTGCCATTTTCCTACTTGGTAGTAASTTTCCAGTGTGTCCTTCCTCTGAATGTTGGTGCCTAGCGAAGTGGGAGTGAGAAGAGAAGCATTTCCATCCCTACTTGTTTGCTGGAACCAGTTTTCTAAGAAGCGAAGGAAGAGACATTTCAATGCCTGCTGATAAGCTCTTGGGATGCTGAGGCAGGTAATCCTGCTGCCTGCAGAAATGTGGCTGGCCCAGGGTTTTAGGAAGGAGCTAGACTCGAGGGTCTGTGTGTCTGTCTCAGTTCCTTGGGTTCTGAAGCTGAAGCAAAGCAATACATGACGAGGGATATCAGGTAGCTATAGCAGTGTGATTACACATTCAAACTAAAAATCATCATAGGACCATGAGGCCACAGCAAAAAGGCCTGTTTCAAGCTGTCCTGGTTTCTGATCCTGTTTGGTATGACTGTGAACGCTGTGGTTTCACCTCAATTCTGCATTCCTACAGACATTTCACATAAATATTGTATTATCTATGGATTGTTCTCTCTTTAATTGCATTCAGTAGAAGTTGCAGAAATAATGTCAGTGTGTTAGCACTTCGAAGACATCACAGACTAACTTTTCATATTGACAGTGCCCAGAAATATTCTGAGWGGGAGAGCACACTTGCAATTCTGGCCAAATTCCCAGTAAAATTTGCACAGTTGCCCAAATTGTTGCTTTTTTTCCTGTATAAAACCTCACATAATTTTGWAATTGTATTTTACACCCTGAATTGGAAACTGTGGGAATAAGCATGACACCAACTACTTGACATGAAATTGATTTAGGATACCAAAATAAGGGCACTCTCTGAGAGTTTTGAGCATCTTTTTCATCAGATTTCTTCCTGTGCTTTTTTTGTTTGTTTGTTTGATTGGYTTCCTYTTTATTCTCCTGTTCCACTGCTYTTTAWCTTGAYAGGAAAGACTGATAAARAAGGKTTTTTCAGGTGTTTTAGTGCTGTTCTGTCTAAACTGGCTTCAAGGATATGGAATGCATGTCATAGGAAGACTGCATTTTTCCCAAGGGGAACCTATGTATAGTAAAGAATACCTACTGTGTAGCAATTGAATTTCTCATTATGCCTCCTGTGTTATTGCTCTTTCTATCTCTAATCCTCCAGATAGTTTCTGTGTTTTGCAGATATAATAGAAATAGTAATGCCAAAATAATGCTAAATACTTACTTAATTTTCTAATATAAACCAGAAAGGACTTTGCCTTTGTATGGTCTGGTTTACCATTCCTTCATTACCATCTTTCTGAGTTGGACTTTTCATGAAAAGTTATACATGGACTGTATAACTGTTCCTTGTTTGCAGGAATTTAAAATAGCATAACACTAGGACTATTTAAGCATCGGCTATTAACCTGATTTTATTGATAATCCCAGTACAGGAGTTTAAGGGAAGTAGTCTCAAGGAGCAGTTCTGACATTGGCTATTGTCACTTCAAACTTTCTGCTTCAGGTTTTCTGGTTGTAAATGGCATTAACAATTTCTAAGTGCAAACCTAGCTTTCAGCATTAGGGTTCATTGACTGTTATTTATTTCATGGTAAGAAGAAAGTATTTTTCTGAATATACTTATAAATCATCTCTTGGGATACCCATGAAAGCTATGTGACAACGTACCACATTAATGTCAGAATCACTTTGATTTTATACACTTTTTTTTAGGCATCTGCTTGAAGTATGGAATTCGTATGGAAACRAAAATGTTTTCTTCAGCTGGGCTGTGTATTGATGCTGAATTTGGTTTATGCCAATCTAGAGKATCAAAAAGAAACTCCTCCAAGACTGCGAGAGATTGACCATCAATGCTGGGAGATATCATCCCATGGGCTGGTGGAAATGAAGAAACTCAAAGTAGCAGATACAGTCATTGCTCTCTGGGACTTCATGATGTTTCTAAAGGAATCCCCTAAGCCCAAGCACAATGAACTCTTCAATGATTTAGCCCAGAACTTCTGGGATATGTATGTAGACTGTGTGCTCTCAAGATCCCATGGAATGGGCAGAAGACAATTAACATCTCCTAAATATTCTTCCACATACTCACATAGAACTTTAGAAGGTAACTACAGGATATGGCACTAGCATTAAACTGAACCAATGCTCCATCCTCATCCTTGATTGGTTAGACAACTCAATATACTAATTTCCAATTTTCTGTCTCTCTTTGTCAAAAATGTTTGCAACTTTCAATGGTAGCTACTTTCACAATACATAGAGTCACTATCTGTTAGGGTAGTACAAAGTGYTAAAAATGCTGGGTATGCAYGTGRGAGTGTGTGGAAATGATTGCTRCATTCTCWGTTTATCACTCTGTGCATATAAATRACAATAYATTAATAAAGTAWTTAYAATACTACAAGTTTCCTGGTATTAGGACTTCAGTCTCAGCTGTGGGGAATMATTTCTCTGTAGAAGGGAAGTTCAAATCCCTGACAATTTAAGCCCTATTCTTCCTACTAAAACTAGTGACATATAATGTGATCTCACGGTCGTTGTGAATCACTAGTGACAGATTCTGGTCACTGTGATCTGGGATGAGTCTGAACTCAGATCATGTGGGTGACTTTACATCTTACTGATCAGTCCTAGCTCTGTTGTTCCCCCTTCCTCCTCTTTTCTGATGTCCCCAGTCAGATGATTTAGGTTTTCAGAATGAACATGAGGATTATTTATTCATAGCCTTTCTAACACATTTTTTGGACAATAACTGTTTTTATTTTATAATCTTGCAGGGTTTGCTTTCACCAATCCATTTTAGGCAAAAAGGGGAGAAAATGAAGATACTTACATAAGGCAACATCAAAACAAAGGAGCAGAAAATCACAACATATATTGTTGATGCTTGGAGAAATCCTTCGGCATGGTTCAATCTTTCYTTTCTTTTTGTATAAAGTACTTAATCACTCCTAAACTGATAAATACATGAACCCCCACACTGTCACTTTTGCTTTCCTGTCTTGCAGTCTACCAAGCTTGCCTTTTCCTCAGTGCATGTGTGAATGCTTTTGTGTTTTGAATCAAAACTTTTGTTCTCCCACATAAGCTTTAAAGCCTGGATGTGTCATTAGTTTTCTCTTTYCCAAGAATTCTCTTTTTAAAAGTTAATTTTGATGGAACCCAAATATATTTTTATACATTATGCAACAGAGAAAATGTAAACAAATGTATTTTATACACTGTCTAGCACATACTAGAAACTTTCAGAACTGAAAAAAAAGGAGCTGTGATATTAGGCTAAAAGGTAAGGTTTATGCTCATTGTAATGTCCTGTGCAGTCTAAACTTTGTATTTTATCATTGCTAGTCTAAGCTACGGATTAAAGTATTTTTCTAAGCAGCAAAGTCTAAATAGCAGTAATTTTCTTGTCTATTAACACATTATTTGATGAACCACTACTTCCTGWCATTAAGAGCAGTGCTTTTCACAAGATTGCAAGTAAGGGGATGTAGTCCATCCCTGTCATTGCAGGCTGAGACGGGACCCATGCACCAAGTGGTTCAAAAGAGGGATTTGATTACTGCTCTCAGTAACCACTGAGCATGGATAAAATAATTCAAGGACATTAACTGCCTAGTTAATCTGATACATCTGAGCATAAAAAGTCTGAGAAATGCTGACTGTTCTCTSCTTTACTCCTTGGGCAATGCAATTTGTTCAGTTCCTGTTGTGTTCTAGCCTTTTATGAGATTCTAGGTGGTTTTAATTATTTTAGGAAATAGTATTTATGCTGTAACAGCATATAAACTTCATAAGTAACAAGAAATCCATCCCACATAAACTCAACATACAAACTCATATACAGTTTGTAAAATATCCAACAAGTTTAATAAAATTGTAAATATTAATTTAAGTAAACACCATATTGAAAAGCATCTTCTAAAATATGTCTCCTACAGTATTCTAGAGATGGTACAAAAGTAGCSAGAGATTTTTCTGACCCATTAACATCACTTTAAGTTCATGATAGAAATAATATTTTAAAGACACCTTTTGAGCAAATGGAGTTATTATTGACCCCAAACACAGCAGCTTCAGGAACAGATATATTATCATGAGCAGTGGTTTGAGAGCTATGATTTAACCTGCCCCAGTAATATCTAGTTCATGAAGCTGTGTACTGTATTGCATTTGCAACAAATGTTTTAACTGTTATAAATCGCATGAACAAATCCCCCTTGTTCACCTACAGAAGTGTCAAAGTATAATAACATTTTAAAGGGATTGTTTCCTCTRTTTGTGTTTCTATTTCCTCTACTTGTGGTCTTTTAATTGAATGCCAGAGCAAGGTCTCCTATGCAGTTTCAAAAGCTTCATCCTTCTTCAGACAGTAAGTYTTTGTTTTAATTAGTTTTCTATAAGACACTAAAGTGCTTTGCCATAATTATTTACCATAATTGGCTGSAGAATGTTTGAACAATCAATTGCTACAGTCACCCCGTGGTGTCTTCCAAAGGGGCAGGTGATTGTGAACCACAGGAAYGCAGCAGCAGCAACAAAACAAATTCCAGGTGGACATACTATGATGGGCATCTATGAAAGCTGTGGAAAGGCACAGCTACTCCTGGGATGTGACATGATTAACTGTGAATGGGATGGTCTTTTCTTCCATCAGCACCCCCTCTGTTTCCATCCCTGGGTTAAGCAGGGACAGCAACCCAGTTTCTTGGATGCTGTAAGTTCCCCTTGTGACAGCCAGACTATGATCCACTGCTGGCTGGCAAAATCAAATGCTGTTAGTGCTACTGTGAGCTTTGTGTTAGTATTGATTCATGAAGTATAAATGTAAGTATTTGGGGAAATTCTGTCCCCTTCATTCTCCAGTCATTATTAATTAACATTAATGAYCAATTAACAAGAGTTTTTGCAGCTGCTCATTTGCAGTCAGGGCRTCTGTAGCAGAAACAATGCAGTTGGGCCAAAAATGCTATGGGGTTCACTTTGTGCCTGACTTAATGATTTTGCACAAGCAAAACTGATTTTCAGTTAAAATTTTTTTTTTATCCACCTTGGCTACAGTGTATTCCTGTAGCCCTTGCTCAGAAATTTGAAGGACTTACATAAATCCTCTACAATTTTTAARTGGGCCTCTGCCTTGCTGCCAGTAGTAGAGTCACCCACACATTCACATATGTGCAAAAGCATGCAAAAAAGCCGCTAAATGTCAGTCTTTGGTCTAGTAAAATATGTATTGTTTGGTTTTAATTGTGAAAATATAACAGACAGTACATTTTCTAAGCCAGTAATAAAGCAGCAAGGCTGCTGCAGAGCTGTCTGGGAATATAAATATAAAAAACTGAGCAAACCTTTAGTTGACATAGAGGACTTCAGTTCGAGAATCTTTAGGTACCTTAGGTAACCTTTCTTGTAGGCAAGAAATACACATCCAGGCTGGTTTAATAAAACATATTTAAACTTTATACAGATAATTWTGGGAAAATGTCACAATGAAACTAGATTATAGTTAAAAATTATCAGTCAGCAAAGGGTTAGCATAAAAAATAAAAACAATTTAATTTCTCTAGCTTTAAGTACTAGATGGCTTTCTTTACAGTGTGATGACTTTCTCACTCAACAAGGGTTTAACAGGCCTGCCCATAAGAAAATCCTGATCTTTGGAAAACACACACGTAGAGATTTTTCTAAACTTAAAATACCATTTTTCACATGTATGTTTTATTTTATTTCATTATTTCCTTAARTTTATTATTTTTATAGAATTTAAGTACTCAATTTTGAAACAAAAATATTTGCCTTTGTTTTTAATGTTTAGTCTGCCATGCCTTGTTACAGGGACAAACATATTTTTATGACATATTTATACACACATCTATCCCATCCCTCTCTCATGAAGCAAAAAAAGSGAGTTGGAATATGTTTAGCTCAAATTTATTTTCTTTTTTTTTCAGTCTGGCAGTAAAAAAAGCAAACTTTGTGTTTTTCTCAAGATGMTACTTACAGGCAAAAATGACAGACTAAGTGCCAGTTTGTATGACACAGCATAAAAGCTTGTAATGTCACAGAAATTTATGCCCAAGCATTGGATAGCAACTGGTTTTACAATGAGGAGCCTCAGGCAATCTTGCTCTATTGTAACATAGCAAATTCTGGCATTGCCCAAATTAAGARAGAAAATAGCTCAGAAATTGAGTCATCCACAAAAAGGTCTGCTCCTCACCAGTTTGTGTTGGTRTTCTAGAGCTGCTAGGGTGGAACAAGATGAGTTCCTTTTGGAGACAACATGAATAATAGCCCAACAATTAARATTAGCAAGACCAGTTAAAGAACTGTGCGGAACCCAAATGATGTAGGACATTCCAGCATGTCTCTCCAACAGGCTTGGAGAAACTGTTGGCACAAACAAACTTCTTAGTGTGTGTTTCTGAGATGTCAGAAGTTCTGATATTAAAAGTGCCAGTTCAAGAAACAAAATGGACCTGGAAAAAACCCATGTGGGTATGGTATCCAGACAAATGAAGAATTGAATGTGTTTATGTGAAGATTTAGGACCTGGCTTAACAAGACACTTAAACTGCAATGTATGGAATGTGTCAGCAAGAGATGAAAATGAAAATAGTGGACCTACTGATGGTGGATTTTAACACACAAAGTTATTAGATTAATATACCTTTGTACCATATTGTACAGAGGGCTTCATTAAAAAAACATGCCCATATTATATTAATTATGGGAAAATATAATTTTAAGATGGTCTAAGCAATTTATCAAAGCATTGCAAATAGATTTTATCTTTAATCTACATATAGGTAACTATATATTAATATAGCAATATTTGCAACAGTATCTATTCTACAAGTACCAATTTTTTCTTGACTTTCTTGAGTCCAGTGTTTTATTTCTTTTGTTTTTTTTTCAAGGCTTCTTTAGAAACTGAGGACTTTGTAAGAGCAAGGTTTGTAACAGCCAGYAGCCGTCTATTGTACTCACGAGGTGTACTTTCCACAGTTACTACACGACCAGGTCCGACCTGAAACACAAAATAAATACATTGCTTGGCTTTCATGCTAGAGTTTTAAATGAGTGTTGAATCATTAACTGCCTTTTGAAAATATTCAGTTGGTGGAGATGTCTGCTGAGGTTTCCGAGGGCCACTGAAACTTTCCTTGATGCTAAATTCACAATTTGTTCCTATCAATACAAAAGAAAGGAGAGAGTGGGTTTTTTCAGCAGATACTTTTATGTGCTCTGCTTTTCTGCCTTCATGACCAATCTTATGAATTGAAAAAAAAAGGAAAATCAAGCCTTTATTCCAATAGAAGTTTGTTGTACTATGTTATTTGGATCTGTATAGAATGTTAGTTACAGTTTTTCATCTCAGAATTTCACTATGCATTATTACTTCAAAGGAAAAAAAAAGGAACAGGCCCACTTTCTTTCAGAATGCAATTCCATAGAACTACTGCTCCAGGAAATCTCCAAGACTATCCAGAGTCATATATTCTTTTAAGAGTCATTACTACTCTTTATGCTGACTAGGTTTAGCTCTTGGAACAAATATCCCTGAGTGACAGCTCTGTCTTCTAATCATGACCTACTAAAAAAAATGCAACTCTTTGAGTGCATGTGACTCACAYGTTTGATTACTTGACCTTGACAGGTCTGCAAGAACCATCTTAGCCTAATCTTCATCTCTCCCTGTTAAGGGTGTTTGGCAGAGAAAAGGGAAGAAGATTGTTGCATTAAAATTTTTTCCAGCCACATCTGTCATTTGTAATTCTCCTAAGCAATGTACCTGAGGAATTTTATATGATGTTGCTGATATATTTGTTTTCTCAATACACCTATTCTGCAAAATGGACTAACCTTTTCCTTGATTTTATCTACAGYTATTGAAATATTGATAATAGAACCATGAAGGTATTTTCTTGTTAAATCCTTTCCCTCCAAGATACAAACAACCTTGGCTTGAGGTTCAAGCCTTTAAAATAAAATCTAACAATATATTTCTCTCCACTAACAATTTCTAAATTACTCATGTTTATATCAAAAAGTTTCAGATACTTTCTGCAAAAATTGTTGTTTAACAGTCTCATTGTCGTTTATGCAAGTACCTAAATGATTTTTCCAGCTGACTTCATCTTGCATTCACAGATGTTTCCCTCCATATTTTTCTGAAGTTTAAGATGTGAGAAAAATCCTAGTCCTTCACTCTGAGACAATGCTTGTTTACTATCAAGCTCCTTGCTTATTCATCACATCAAACATGAACTTCCTCTTTTCAATTTGGAAGCACTTTATTTGTCATTATTAATTCATGCTGGAGAGCCCATGATAACAATTTCTTGCCTTCAAGCAAGTTTGACACCTCATGTTTATATTTTTTTGTTTTTTCTCACAAAAAGAGAAGAGTAAAATTAACTTTTAAGCAACCAAGAAACTATACCGCTAAAATCCTCCTTAGTTGCGATTTTACACAGAAATAATCCAGCTCAAAACCAGTTATTGACTAGAATTCTAGAATTCTCCCATGTCTTAACATATCTTGCCAAAAYTCAACATCTAGATATGCTCTTAGGTGTTAATTAAATCCTAACAAAGGCTTTTTATTTTCTCACACTTCAGTTAACTGATAGAAAAAAAAGTAAATTTCTGCAGATGCAACAAGTGGCTTGTCTGCAGCCAGCCAGGGACTTGTTACTGATAAAGGACACCTCTACAGATGTATGAGAGATTGCACAGACACSCAGCAAAGAAAGGAGGAGGCCTTGATCTCAGCAAGGTTTTCATGAATGGCTGTCTCACAAGAGGCACATGTCACATAGCATAGGGACCATCTTGCCCACACTTTTTCAGAGCATTTTGCAAATCTGAATCTCATTCTGGCCAACTGCTTGTCTAAGGATATGTCAGAACAGAATTTGGCGATTTACAGAAGATACAGATTCTTTCTTACATACTTGGAGCTTGCCAAAACATTATTAAACATTGTTAATGAAAGCATAAGTAGCAGCATATATACAGCTAGAATAAACCCCGAAGAGTGTCTTTAAGGATTACTTACTGTTGTATGGAGTTTTTCAATATCAGTAGAATGGAGTTGTCCATTAGAAACGTCTCTTCGAAGTCTGGAACCCTCTATTGATGCTTTCTGAAGCATTTTTGCCTTCTGAAGATAATCAGAAAAAAAAGTAAAATTGTTTTAATCTGCATTAATGGTGTCATTTGCACTTGTTAAAAATATACAAAATGACAAAATACAAAATACAAAAACAAAATGACAAAATAAATGAGGTTATAATTCTTTTCGCCTTTAATTGTAAGTACCTTCCCTCTAGCTGGTGACTCTTGTACTGAGGACCCRAAAACAGAATATAAGGACGTGGCATTGCAAGGGTGGGAAGGGAATTCCTGCTGAGCAATGCAGCCGTGGGTGCTGTGAGCCTTCATGGTCACAAGAGCACACTGCTGCCTCGCGATCAGCTTCCACCCCAAGCACAGCACACGGCCACCTATCCAGGCAGACTGTGTCACAACACAGTCTCTATACACCCCAGGTGAAGGACTACACTGGTTTTTTCCTGAATTTCATGTGCTTTGGGTCAGCCCATCCATCCAGCTTCGCAATAGAAACCCCGCCTCTCAGCATATGGATTGCTTCCTCCAGTTTAGTGTCATAGAATTAGAGAATCATGGAATGGTTTGRGTTGGAAGAGACCTTAAAGTTTATCTAGTTCCAACTCGCATCCCATGGGGAGGGACACTTTTCACCAGGACAGGTGGCTCAGAACCCCATCCAGCCTGGCTCTCAACACTTCCAGGGATGGGGCATTCACACCTTGAGCTTGAKGACGATGGATATTGATCCAATGTCCAAGTCAGTAATGAAAATGTTAAATCAACCTTATATTATCAACCTTGCTTATAATTAACTCAGAGGAATATCACTCAAAACTGACCACTAGTTAATCATTACACTGTGATTGTCACTGTGGCACTGACCACTGTGATTTAGGGCCCATCAATCCAGCCAGTTCTTCACACAACTCGTTGTCCCCCGTATGTAATCTAGTACATATATCCCCATTTTGACTACAAGAATGCTACACATGACCATGCTGAAAACCTTGCTAAAGCAAAGGGAATAAACATCCACCTTCCTTTTCCTCCAGAACAAATAATTTTATCACAGAAGGCAACTATGTTGGCAAGACGTGATTTGCCTATGGCAGCCATTACCAATCTCCTACTCCCTCATACACCTAAAACTGCTTCCCAGGGACTCAGTTAAAACTAATGAGTCTGTAGTTCTTCAAATCCTTCTTCTGGCCCTTTTTCATTTCTGATTCTAGCACAGATCTTTCYATAAGCCAGGGAGGTGCTTGCATAGAAAGAAAATTGTTCTCCTTTGCAACTCCTTCGGGAAATGAAGAAAAATTAAATTTAGCTGCCAAAGTTTTTCTTTTAAGTCTGATTTCATTCATTTTCCAACTTAATCTGTTGCCAAACCAGGACTCTAACACTTTTATGTTCTTTTGGAAAAGTGCAAATATTGCTAGAAGAAACAYCTTTCATCACAAAATATTTCCCATCTTGAAAAATGTTTGCTGTACTAAAAACAGAGAATGAAGAATTAGAAAAAAATACAGTAAGAATRAACAAACTTATAGTTTCAACAGCTTCAGAAGAAACACAAATATATAAACCCACCCCTCAACTGCAAGTGGCAATGTTGATCCCCAGTTTGTGATTGCAGACAGAAGAATCAAAGATTGCATAACTTTCCCAATACAACCTATGGTTACTTCTGTGAATATAAAATTTACTATCACTTCTACCTGAATATCCTCATAATTCATTAAGAAGTGTGTTTGGAACATCGCAATTATTTTAAGTACATTGTGAATGTATATATTTTACTCCATCAGATTTCTTACCTTCAATGCCTCAAAGTCTGATGTCCGAGTCAAGAAATTTTCCCAAGATTTTTTTGTCAATTCTCTCTGTGTATAGGCAGCTTGGAACTGTAATATGAATGAGATTTACAGGATGTAACACAATCCTCTTCTCATGATCTCTTCTGATTTCATTGCTTGTGCTGTTTGAAAAGAATGTTCACCTGTGCCCCTTTGGCTACCTTAGCTCATCCCTCTCATCTGAGATTGGATGAAAATGTTATAGTATAGTATTCGCCCTTTAAAAACAAAGAGAGACTTACTTTGTGCAAACTAATTTTTCTCTCTTCCAACACATGTGTTGAACAAATATGTTGGAAGAAGCACAGCTCTTTCAGGAATACTTTCTCTATATTCTACTCTCAAATGCTGAATAAAAGAGAGACAATCAGTAGAGGTGACAAGGGTGCAGTCATCATAATGCAGGACAATCCTTCAAAAACACTAGCATGAAAGTTCAGACAGCTGGACTAAATGATCTTATTTCACAGAAAGTAGGTGAGGGTGAGACAATAGATGAACAAAACCACCAAATGTTTCCCTTAGAACCAAAGATGGAAAATGTCTATACTTTCTCATTCTCAACACGCTCAGAAGCACAAAGCCCTAGTTTCTGCAGTAATGAAGCTCTGTGAATATTCAGCAAGGGAGCTTATAATAGAGACTTACATTTCATTTTAAGGAGAAGGTGTAGTTGTAATAGGTACTTTGTATTGTTACTGCTACAGATGAAGATGGGTGAAACTCTAGAGTAACATAATTATAATTTCTCATTACCCCATTGCTGATGCATYACCGATAATTCTGCTTCATTTTTCATATTGTTCTCTAAATTCTGTGGAAATTATACAAGCTGGAAGGACTAAGGTTAACCTAATTTAATTTAAAGTTCAAATTTTGCTGCTGAGGCAGATTAGAACATTTTCAAACAATGCACATGTACAGGATTCTCAACATTATATGATAAGAAAATCTGCACATAAATGAACAAAAAAAGCTTAGATGGGTTTTCCTTATTTAAATACTCCTTGTCTTACTTCTTTATATATTTCTTGCTCTTCTTTGACTTCATGGTGGTGTGCACGGTCAAGCATTTTAGTCTGCAGAGCAACAACTCTTCTTGCAGTATCTTCTGTCAGCTTTGAAATAACTTTCAAAGCTTTTTCATCTGATGTAAGAGGCCTGAATTCTTCTTTTATTTCTGCACATATTTCACGCCAAACCTCTCCAACCTGTGTATGAAACATACACCACACTATCTGATATTTATGTCATTTTCCAGTTCCAATTATTCAAAATAAAATAGTGCAACCATCTCTCTCTTTATAGTTGTTTGACTTCCCAAAATTTTTATGCAAGTTTAAACTGCACTAATACTATGCCAAATTCATTCATGATAAGCCTCCCTACACCTTCCCAAGGCCAAACTTGATTCCAAAGAGGAGYAGCAATAATGCTGATAACTACAGAAATTCAGAAAAAATAGAGATAGCTCCAAGATGCCAAATTACAAGAGTGAAATGTTGAGTCCTACTGCCTACTTCTTAAAATCTCAAATTGCAGACATTATTAAAGCAAACTGCAACATGAGCCATTAACGGAAACTGGAATTATCAACCAAAGACTGAGTCTTGTTATTTCCTGAACACTTAAAACTTGCACAGACTTCGTTCCTAAGCATAAAATTGTCATAAGCTAAAGCATCTTTTGAGCAGGATAGGTCTCAAAAAGCTTGTTATGCTGCTCTAGTTTCCTGTAGGCACATCATTGTTAACTTTACACAGAATGGATGGATGGATTGACGGATAAATGGTTAAATGGATGGATGTATACTGCATGTAGAGAMAAAGATAGGAAAGCACAGAAAAATCCTTACCAGAATATGTTTTTAATGCCATTTTTAAATGTCCCCTTAAATTGACCTTACTGCACAAAGACACATTCTTACTCTCCAGTCCTTCCCCAATTTCTTACTCCTAGCACATTCCTGTCTTGATCTGGCAAACAGTTGAAATTACTTTTTCCTGAGTTATTTTAACTAGCCTCAGTTTCTAATCTTATTTTCTGTGTGGTCACAAACATTTGTAGTAGTATTTACTACTACAAGTAGTAGTGATGCAAGAACCTGGTGACTGATGCAATGCTGGAGATAGGATTTTTCTTTTGCTGATAAATACTGGCTTTCACTATATGAAACTACAGCTGACTTGTGAAATAGGGGACAGCTTTTGAAGGGGTGTTTGTTGTATCCTGAGATATACTTGCTATTTTTGGCAAGTAAGGTACAGTAGTAATATTTGCTTGAACTATACTCACTTTAAAGTCCATATAACGTTGTATAATAGCAAATGTAACAGAATCCTTAGCAGGTAAGGCAGGTAATTTTTCAAAATCTAAAAGAATATTAATCACATCAGTATGATGAATTAATCTTAAAATATAATATTCTAAAAAGTGACACCTTATTTGTCATAAAATCACAWRCAAAATCTTCATCACACATCCMCCAATTTGTCMCTCTGAGCAGGCTTAWGMTGATAAAACCCCCCTGTTTCTCCAYAATACATTCTCTCTGTTCTAAAATMTTTACTTATGAATGTCTTCATTGGCCTTCCAATCATTTGGCAGGCCAGGATGTCACACTTTTGTGGTAAGGGTTTGGTTTGTGTTAAAACAGACAGTTGAATCTACAGACCAGAGTTTCTAGAGCAGCAGTTCAGCACATACAAAGTTTGCTAGAACTGTGAAGTAGCCAACAGGAAGATTGTATTAGTGCTTTGTTTCAAAGGTCTGTAATGATGGTGTCCTCCATCTTGTAGACTTTTGACTCAAGCATAATGCCTTGAGCATCATGACTCTACCTTTTTAAAATATTTCCAATATGTGCAAAAGAATAAAGCAGAGAAGTATAGTTTCTGATTCTCTGATTATTGTTTTTTTGGGGCACAGAATGATAAATGCACTTAATTAAAATCTAAATATAATCAATCAAATATCTTTTTAGACTTCATCATATCATCTGTGTGGTAACTGGGAAAGTAGAGTATAATTACATTACGTTTTGAAGTTAAGAAATACCATAAATAAAGAAAATTTACCACTGCTTTTCTAGATCATCATATTACAGACTTAAGGAGCTTAACAGCAAGAGGAAGTTGCTGAGAAAAGACTTAAAAATATTTCCATATGTTAATATCTACTTTCATACCATTTCAGTACTTCGCAGCAGAGAGTATAACGTATACAACTAACATGGAAGAGATCTGTGAATAGAGGAGAGAGCTGGAAGAAAACCTTGCTCCTTTTGTTTTCGTAAAGAATCCAGCTGTGATTCAACATTTAATATAATTAACACTACTAAAATTAGTAAGAACCTGGGATACAATAGAGAGTAAGTAACTATAGATATTAGAGAAACTAAGGATGTTTTGAAACCAGTTCATTCTCTAGGTAAACCAGAGAACTGGCTGAAGCAATCTCAGAACAATAACTCATTATCTTTGAACCTGCAGAGAATGGACATGAAAACACAAAAAAGCCTAGAAAAAAACCCTGAAACAAATAATTACACAAATAATGTCTATATAGTTAAATGTTAAAAGCGAAAAAAATTAATATCCATGAATATCTATGAATTAATGAAAACTAAGACCAACTTTTGTCTACAGACAGAAAAAAAAATCTCATAGATGTGGAAGAATTTGTCACTCATTTTGACTTCAGTCTACGTTTCAAGACAAGGAGATAACAAGTATTTATATTCAGTTAGGAGGGACTGTCACAATTGAAAAGAAAATATTAAAATATAAATTAATCTTGCCACTCTGAAAAGTTACCTAAAACCACAGAACTTAATTCAGTAAGGACAAATAAAAAAACCCCAATGTAGGAATAGCTATCTGTACAAATCCAGTGTGGTATATGACTGTACAACATTCTAAGTTGAATGGGCAAACAATATCATACTACCAGGAATACAGCAATTGTTACAGTAAGATCTGAATRTTTATCTACAAGATGAGCAGAGTAACATAACTCTATTTGGCTGTGAGGGCTCTGCTGAAGTACTGTGTTCAGTTTTGGGACACCACAGAGCAAGAAGAATTTGAATCAATTGGAAAGACTCCAGAAAAAAAAAAGAATAATTCAGGTAATGTTAGAAAAAGCATTCAGTGAGTAACATCTTTTCCACATCTAGGGAAGCAAATGTAGAAGTGTTAAAATATGTGAAAGAAATATTGTGCATGGGAAAACAAATTGCGGAGAATTTCAAGCAAATTTAAGGTTTAGTCCTAAGAAAACTCTTCCTAGTGGTAGGGGCAGCAAAGTAGTGGGGAAGTCTTCAAATCCCAATCAAGAGGGACTTTAAAAAACATAATGAGCAAGCATCTATTAATTAGAGTTCTGATGATGCATCGCAATGTTTCCCTTGACCTTTTTTTTTTTTTTTTTGAAGTGACTTTATTGATCACCAGTGAACAAGTTCAGTTTAATGACAATATGACACTGACAAGGCAACTCATTTATCTTACCTAGCTTACAAAATAATGAATAAACTTTTGCCCGTATGCTCTCTGAAATTTCCATGATGGCAAAGCTGGGACAGTTGGAAGGCACAGGAATGACCTTTTGCTGTTTCTGGAAGCTGGTWGCAATAGGTCTCTTAGGATCTAATAATTTAAAAACACAAAACCATAGTAGAAGAATGAAGAGGTATTAAGTTTCCAAACTTGGAGGAAATGTATCTTACTTTGTGGACACTATGTAAATCATTTTGATAGTTTGGCTGGGAATTTGMACAAATTTTGGGCCAGGAAATTTTAATTAGCATGAATAAAAATTCATGAGAAGAGCACTCATTTCTTTTTGCAACATATAACAAAACAAAATGCTTTTTTGTGGAAGAAATTTAATAGTTTAGTTGTGCAGCATTAGAAAAACTGGTCATGGTTCTGTTCAGTAATTGGTTCATTCCCAGCTGATGTAGAAAATACCATGTAGTGGCTAGAGTGAAATAAAAATAAATTAATGAATAAAATGAAACAGAAAATAAATAAAAAAGAAGATATTCTAGGTTTGGTATGAATTATCAGGTAGAGCAATAAATGCCATTATTTAATTTCACCGGGGTTAAGACAACAAAAGCAAATAATGTCATTATTTTACTGAATTGCTCACAGTTTCACATGCATCATAAAACTTACCAACAATCCTTCCATATTGATCACGCCTGACTCCCAAATCYATCTCCTCCTCTCTCCATAGCTGAATTAGAAGGTTAGCTGCTGTTTGATCTCTCTTTCCTCGCCAGGTATTGAAGTGCAAATTTGTTTTAGGGTTGTCACAAAGTTCAACCAATATTCCAAGAATTATATTGCACAGCTTCTTTTCCTTTAACTTGGTCAAGGGAAAAGTAAAGAGAGTTTTAAATTGTTCAGATCACACTGATGTCTACCTTCAGAGAAATTGCATACAATGTAATCAAGTAACTGCAAGCTTTTCATCACTCGTAGTTGCACAAAACTCATGTATAAACTTATAAATCCTTAAAGTTTCTGAGATCCTGCTGTGCAAGGTTCAATAAATCAAGGAGCATGAGGGGCATGAGTGTAGGATCATATAAGAGGCACATTCCTGTGTGTAGAATTACACAGTAGTTTTTGTGCATATGCCTCTAGGATGACATGCTGGAGAATTTTCTGTCCATGCCTTCAGGATGGCATGCTGGGGAATACACTGCCACCAAGGGTTATTGTTGTAAGAAACAGACTCTGAAGGCAGAGGCTGAGCAGTACCACACAGCACATCYTCTGTACTGTGGCCAGATCTTTCAGCAGCAGCTGAGAGGAGACAAGGGCTTCAAACTGAAAGGGGAGAGGTTTAGATTAGATATTAGGAAGAAATTSCTTACTTTGAGGCTGGTGAGGCACTGGAACAGCTTGCCCAGGATGTAGCGGATGTCCCAAGCCTGAAGGCTGGATGGAACAGGCTGGATGGGCCTTTGAGCCACCTGGTCTAGTGGAAGGTGTCCCTGCCCATGGCCAGGGGAGTTGGAACTGGATGATCTGTAAGGTCCCTTCCCACCCGGGCCATTCTATCATTCTGTGATTCTAAGGATCTGCACCCTTGCACTGCAAGGACATCAGGGGCTGACAGTACAACCAGTAAGGATGAAGAGCAAAGGGACCAAGGAAGGTSCATTTTTATTTTGTAAGACATGAAATGTCTGTGCCAGCTCTATGTCCAAGACCCACAGAAGTCACTATACACACAAGATACATGTACAAAACAACTTTCAGTATAAAAACTTTTAAAGCCATCAAGTGTATACTAACTCTGCTTTTACTAACTAATATTAGCACTTCAGAAGAGCTGAAGTGCTTTTCTAAACAGAGATGTTATCCAAACTAAGAGCATAGCCTGAGTTTTCTTCTCAAAAATAGTATAATTTTGTTAAATGAAAAACTCCCTCTGTAAATAAGTAAAAAAAAAAAAAAATACAGGGAAAATTTATAAAATCATTTCTGAGCAGATATCTGGGTCTCTCTCAGGGTTAAATACACTGGGGGTTTTTTTTGTTTGTTTGTTTGGGTTTTGGGGGGTGGTTGTTTTTTGTTTGTTTGCTTGGGTTTTTGATATTATAACAATCTTAGGAGATACTGCAACAAAAATAATGTAATTTCCATGCTGTTTTACTACTCTTTCATTCCACAAAAACAATAATAAAAAMACCTACCGCCAACAAATCCAGAAGGAGAAAAATGCCCTGTTTTTCAATAAAGGAGTTCTCTGCRATGTAACATCCAACGACACAGGACCTTAAACAGAAATAATTTCACTTGTGTAGAAGCATTTTTATGCTTTAGAACATTCTACAATAATTTCATTTATTTTTCTGAATTTCCATTTGGTATGCAATATGCTTCATACCTTCTGGGAGTAGAAAATAATGTTTCACGTGCCTTTTAATTTACACTTTTAACTAACTATACCCTGCTTGACTGCTCTTTCTTTTCCAGCAGGTGGCACACCTGCCTTGAAAGCAGCCCAGGAGATCTGACAGGTCCACRATGAATTGGTAGTACGTATTTTAACTGAAACTAACTCAGTAAACGAGCTTAAAATTTAACCAGATCATGTCCCTAATCTGGTTTATTGTAGGTCTATGTGAGTATTTCTGCCAGCAAAATCAAGGGGGTGAGTCAAGCAAGACTTTATTTTGGCAACAGTTTGMTTCTTCCACATTAAAGTCATCATAAAGCCAGCATTCATGTTGCTGTTGCTTCCGTAGTTCCTCAGCTGTGGTCATTAACACAGAAACTAAAGAGATCTCCTGTATCAGTATTTTCTCTCAGCAAACATATTTGGTTTGCAGTGTATTTATCAACCTCTGCCTTAAAAGAAAGTAACTTTTTATTTTCCTCATGTATTGTCAATCTTTAAAGTATTTCTAGCACAATAAAGTTTACAAACAGTTTCTATGCTTACACAGTTTTTTGATAATGTTAGTCTATCCTTGCCTTCTGTTTACTTCTCTGAAGTTATTTACAGACTCTAACCATCTGCTTCTCTTAGAAAGTCTTGAGTAACTCTGCCTGATAGGGTCACTCTGTGTGGGGAGTGAGGTTGTCATCCTGAATCCATACTTAGAAAATCTTACATGCAGTATAATCMATTTCTTTTGCATAATCAGAAATTATTCAAATTTTATGAAGAATTTTTATATATTATGAAGAGAAGAAAGGCCTATACGTGCAGAGAAAGGTCATAGCATTGTAAACATAAAAACCACAAGACTTGACATTTTTCTGAGTTACTGTTGCTAAAATACTTCACTAACCACAGRCAGTCGAGTGCACTGAAGAGGAGACAATGGTGGCCTAATCCACTGTACAACTTCTTTGGATCCATCCTGAAGAATGGGATAAGTATGGGAATTCCTTCACGGCTGAAGAGTTCCTGTTGAGGTGTTAATTAAAGCAATGTTTCTTAAGCAATATKTACTAAATAGCTACATGTAAGAAAATAGAAGGGAAACTGGGAAATGTAAATACTTATATTATAATAAATTTCGCCCCCTTGTGAGAGCAGGATATACTCCTTATACATAAGAAAAAGAGATTTTCAGTTTTTTCCAAAGTGCTAGTTAATTTCTTAGCATACTTTCATATAACRATCTCAAAATAATGTAAATTAATCATTAAGTAGATTCAATACTTGGAGAGTGGATTTCTGAGTTTGTTTTTGCCTTTTAGTTGTGTCAAGATACATGACTTGTTAACAATGAACTGCAGATGGCATCTGCTTTTGAATTAAAACAGAAAAAAACAGTGTCCCTTAAATGAAAATATAACATGTTTTCACATTTTCTGCACAGTATAAGATAGATAGATACATACCTTTCTGTGAAGATCACTGTCACAGAGAACAGACAAAATAAATAATGAATCAGCTTGGATTTCCACTAGAGTGGCATCTTCTTTCTCTTTAGATTTTCTTATTGCATACTTTAAGACATCTGTGAATGGATATATTTTACATATATGGATATCCCTATACACAAGTCAAAATTCTATTACAACTGCTGCTTTTTAAAAAAACTCAAATTTACATGAAGGGATTCTTAAAGTAAGTTCAGTTTTATCTCCTGTGTTTTTATAATAGCTTACAGAAGTGCAGCACTCTGATGCTGCAGTTTCATGGCCTTTACTCTTGGTGACAGAGTTAATGACAGCAGTTTGCACTGACTTCTCCCTTGCTTAGACTCTGTGCTGCCCCTTGTATTATGCTGGTGCAAGGAATTCAGGGAACTGATCTGAATTAGGAACTCTTAGAAAAAGACAACAAACTTACTGGTCCACTCTACTCTGCAACTTCCMAAATGTTTGTGTGGACAGTGGAAATGTGGAAAAAACATGAAATACCACTATTGCTGAGCAAATCGGCCTTGGAACCACTATGTGAAAGATGGCATTCATACACAAAACTCCCCTAGAGTAAGAAAAGTTACTTGATTCTGATAGTGTTAATTTTGCTTTCTCTAAAAGCTGTATGTTTCCACAGAGTTTTCACTGGAGTTCAACTGAGGCYATAAAATACTTTAATTTCTAGGTTTTTTATTAGAATATACTCTTTGCATTCCAAAGGATCTTTCCTGTTCTGTTTACTTCAGTGTGACTCCTTCAGAGTACTGAAAACTTTCTGTTATTGTAAGAAAAGAACTTAAAACAGTTTRTTTTGGAATTTAAACCCAAATTTAACTGTAGGTATGTGTTACTGAAAAAGAAAATGCTCTAAAATTGCAGGAGCAGTGGTTAAGTTGTTTTATTCTGTTTTTATTACTCATGYTGTTCATAAYAAAGGCACCTTGTTAGTAGTTTTATTCCACTCAAGAGGAGTTGTGGAAAGCAATATTGTAATAGACTTAGGTGGAAAAATACTCATGGATTGGAGTTTCTGGGGACTACCACAATGAAAACAAGATGTACCAAATGCAGTCACAGAAAGGGAGAATGGGCAGCTTTTGCTCTGAAATGAAACACCTACACTGTTAAAGCTGCCTTCTTTGTTCAACTCATTCAATGTGTGCTGAAATRTAAAAAGAATTAAAAATCAAATCTGTTCAATCTTGGATTAATTGGTAAGAGTTTTTTAGTTTTTCAGCAGTCAAAGGAATAACATACTAAAAACACAGCACACAAAAACGCCTGAACTTTCATTGTCAACAGAAATATACTAATTAAAGATCAGCAATACAAACTGTGCTTTACCCAGTAGCTGGCTAATTGCTCCCTGGTCACACAAATTAAGGCTCACAGCATCATCATAAAGAGACACAGCAGATCTCAGCACTCGGAGGCTGTAGTGCAGTTGTGCAACTTTGTTGCCACGACCACCTGCTCCATGGAAACTGTTACCTTGACCAAAGAAAGGATCTGAGGAGCAAACACAACGAATAGAGGCTTTGGCAGACAGCATATGTTCAGAATAATAATACGCTCAGGAAAAACAAAAACAAACAAATAAAATCCAACCTCAAAACACAACAAAAAACCCCAACCCCCACAACAACAACAAAAACCCCAAATCCTTTTGAAATTAGAAATGATTCTTGTTTAAAACCACCTAGTAATAAGCCTTTCTGGGTAGGACTATACTCTTTCTACATGCATAAAAAACGTAAGATTTTGGTGAGCATTTAAAGTTATACATTTTTTAAACTTATAAGGTTCATGAGCAGTCTTTAAAACTCAAAATATTTTCTTCAGCATGACATTTAAAAGCAATCTTTTGAGCTCCGCTCAACCCAAATAAAAATTTCTTCCTAGGAAGACACACCAATTCTATGATGAAAAACATCTAACCTCAGAAATGCGGTCAACAAAACTGAATGCACTCGGTTATCTTTTTGCTTAGCCCACACTCTCAGTTGATGCCCACAAGCCAGCTTTAGTCTGGAAGCTGCCTTACAGCTCTGAGTTAACATGTCCTGTCTCACGGCAAGAATTACTGGTTGGACTTGTTGCCTCAATGGAAGTGCCTGGCTTGCTTAAAACACAGACAGTAGAGRTGTTTGGCTGCCCACACAGATGAARGGATATCAGTATAGTGGTACACAGGGAAAGGGGCATCAGCTCATCCTTCAGTAGAAAAAAAAAATAGGATGGTTGGTTGTTTTTTGGAAACATTTGTTTCCTAAGCRACCTATTGAAAAAGAATCATTCTGACACCTTGAGTTTTACATTTTCTTTTCCTGTCAAAGAACATAARTTCAGTTGAACTGTTTTGAGGTTACTTGTGTGTGAAAGCTATGAACATCTACTGACCTTGACCTATGCACCATTCTAGAAACATGAGGAGCAGAGTATTCGCTTGGCAGGACAAGTATTTGTCTATTAACACAGGAGCCACTGAAGCTAAAACTGAAATTGCATGAAGCTGTAATTCTTCATAGAGGACAGGTGACCAGTCAGGAAATCCAGGMTTTTGAATTGGTTTTACATAATAAAGCAAAGCTGGCATCACATGATTTTCACTGAGGAGCTGCAGAGTCCAGACAAAGAAAAAGAGACAGTTTACAGGTTTCACATGAAAAAGAAACAAGAAAAATCTAAAGCCATGAGTCAACTTCATCTTCCATACCCTAACAGAATTATTTTTTCATTGAAAGACTGTGTCATGAACACTACAAGTAAAGGCAAACTCTCTTTATATTCTGTAGCTTTCCCACAGATTGTGGTTTGTTAAACTTTATTATGTTCTTYAGGTGTATTTAAAAAATGCTCTGCAGTCACTTGTCAGCAGTTTTCCTAGCATGGTCTAGGTTTGTAACATTTTAAAAGAGAAATTGTATGCTGCTTTCCAACAGCAGGACTTGGTCTGAAGCTAAGTATGAATTCTTGATTTGGAGARCAGATAATTTCAGTGTACTGGATTTTGCCAGATGGACAGATAAGTAATATTTTTGTGATTCATTTGTCTTTTCCAAAAAAAAAAACCCTTATTGTTTCTATTCTGTTACAACTTACCTGTGCAGCAGATGGGTTTTTTGATAAGACTCCTATTACATTAAATAATAACTTCTTCATCTCAAAGTCCTCATAAGAGTAGGTAAATTTAAAACCTTTTATCAAGGGATTGCGTAGTTTAACTATGAAGGAAATTGCAGATAAGTTACAAAAAAATCATCATTAAAAGCAAAAATAGTGTAATTATGCAGTATGCAATCTCTTACCTTCAGCAAATGTTGAAAGTACTATTAAGAGCTTTGCAAATCCACTTTCCTAATAGGAATTCAAAAAACATACATTAATTAAATTAAATCACATTGAAATTAAGACTTATGATTTAATTTTGGTTTTGCTTTTTTCTTCAGAACACAGAGCTTAATGTATCCTATGGCAGAATAAACAGAATTTTATCAAAGAAGAGATCAACCATTTGGACATTCTACAATAATAACCAACTGCAGACCTAAGGGTACAATTAGTTAAATCCATGCTCCATTCAGTACAAGTCTGAACTCCTATGGGGAAGTCCCAAAAGCATGTAATCACCACTACAATCTAACACAAGAAAACAATTTTCTCAGTGCTCTTAGAGTTGTGTTTTTTAAATGCATTTGTTAATGTTTTTACATCAGCATCACCAGCACATAAAATTTTGTGGCTTCTGTTGTGCACACCAATGCACTTCAGTGCATTTACAAGTAAACTTATGAAAACTGCATATATGGGCTCAGAAAATGAAATCTCGTAAATCATAGCTCCYAGAGAGATAACAGAAGAACAATAATGTCTGATATAACTATGGATAGGGCCAAGACCAGGAGGTGTCTACRCAGCACGCTAGAGGCAAAAGAGTTTTGTTTCTGAGATAAGCAATTAGCAAACAGACAGCTTTGTTCTAACACAGATAATAATTAATATAATTATGAGCTTTTCATTACATATATTTTATGGTTTGCTTGTGATGAGAAAACTGTTTTCCTTTTCAAAGGCTCAGATTCTTTTGCTGATTTCTGAACTAMGTAAAATACAAGACTGACTTTTCTGATGTTCTTGGATACTATATTAATAAAAAAAAGGGAACATTCTGAAGCAAATTTCTTTAGTATTATCTATATGGCAGGTTTAAAAGGCAATGTTAATGCTTTTTTCTACCTGATATTTATACCTTGTAAGATCTCTAGGCAAGCTGAATACAGAACTTAAATTAAATTGTTTTAATATTTTCTTCTCAGAGAAACAATTTTTCCTGCTTTTAGTAGAAGGAATTAAAAATACATATCCTGTTTACCTATCTTATAGGAAGAAAATGCCCTGTTTCTAAAGCCAGATAGACAATTGTTTAGAGATCAAATAGAATAGATAGAATGTTTCAGAGATCAAATATGTTGCTGCCATAGCATAACAGACATTTCATACTAGTTAGTGTCAAATGAAAAGCTGAAATGAAAAATCTGTAATCTTCATTACAGACTATAACATCTATTTAGTAATACAGACAATTGGAAAACTTCTATTCRAGTAGAAAGAATTCCTGAACAGCTAACAGATCCACAGGGACTTGATTTCTTAATTAYTCAGTATGTATGTTACAACTTCATTTGAAGTTCTAAATCTCAACTGTACAACAAGAGATTAAAGGAATATTAACATCTATAAAAAATTAATTTCTCTCCAGGTTTCTCATAAAAATTCTGGAATATTACAAAAGAATGAGTCATCTACATTTCAGGCAAGTCATGGTAGTGCATTATSTGACCTAGCCTTTAAAAGAATTTATGTGCCTCTTACCAACTGGATCTAAATAATTATTTTCTCAGAATTTTACTTAGAGCTCCGGAGCTGATTTTTGGACAACCCTTCTTGCTCCTGGTTATGAAGCAAACATTGAATTTGGGTCATCTGAATATAGCCTATATCTTCAAACAACAAATGAGATTTAGTGCAAAACTCATTAAAAGAGAATGGCACATTCAAGAATACAAGAGTTAACATACTCTTTTGCACATAAATAATGTTAATGCAATTTTACAAGTATTGAATAAGGTTGATGGCAATATTCTGGGCTAATGACCTATAAATTTTAAGTCTCTTTGAGGTAAAGACAATTGCAGAAAGAAAAATGTTTCCTCGCTCAGCAAAGAAAGAAAGAAAGAAAGAAAGAAAGAAAGAAAGAAAGAAAGAAAAAAAAAGCACTGGAGAGAGAGCAGAAAAAATATTAGAACCCTAATGGGAAAGAATACTGAGCCTATAATAGCAAAGAGGAAATTATAAGTCTTTGGAATACAACTGTAAATGCTTACAATCATAGGTGCTGCAGGGTTTTCAACCAGTAATGTGGCAATCACCAAGAGGTCATTCCGTAGATGCTGATCACAGTGCCGGAAGCCATGCATAAGAAGGTGTACAAACACTTCTTTCAAAGTTCTTAAAAGAAAATGAAAGGCATTTTACCTTTTCCTTTGATATTCTAATGTTAGACAGCTCTATGTGCAYGAATCCTCATTCAGCATCACACTTTTCAAAGCCTTAGGGTTTAACTGCAAGAGAAGTAACTTAAAACTTTATTATGAAATAAATTCTTTTGGGTATGCYAGACATCCAATTTATTCATATATGCAAGATGCATGTATTAAAAATTGCACCTYCCACTGTGTTATAATTAATTAATAGAAAGACACAGCATTTACTCCAACATGGAACTGGACATTGCTGAATGATTACTGAGAAGAAATAATCTAATCTTAMATAGTTAAAACAGTCTTATGCACTAAGGAAGAACCTGTTAATTACTCCAGCAGCGGATCTAGAAATAAACCTTGTATATCATGGCATAGCAACAACTGGGTMAAAACTGAAAACTTAATGAGGATGTAATAAGAGACCCATTTACATTTCTCTCAGTTAATTTCAAACAAAATGCCGCACAATAGAATGCTTTAGAGCCTCCAAAATTACAGTATTAATTCATTAAATGCTCCCTGTACTTACTGTACACATTCCAAGCTACTGAGCTGATTAACAACTTCTTCTTTTGAGGTGTTTTCTAGCAGGTTCCATAGGATATCTGAGGAACGGAACAGCAGCTGTCCTGAGGGATCAGCACCATTTAGATACAAACAGAGTTTGCTGGCTGCTTGGGCCTTCATCATTAGTCTGCAATTYGTTTCTGAAATTATGAAAATCTGAATAATTAATTCTCTGTAGGTCAGAAATTGTTTCAGTCATGTTGACAGAACAGATGATCTAAGATCAGTGGTAATGAGATTGTTGAAAGAACAGTTTGTACTAACCAGAGGTGGAAAGATGCTGCAGAGCYTTAAGTACCCACAGCTTCTCAATAAGTTGATTCTCAACTAAAGTTAGTGACATRAAAAGAGTTTCTGCTAATCCTCCTACTTCAGCCATCTGGATTTTATAGTCTGCACTTGCTGGCTGGTAACCTGCACACACAATAGGTTTAGTTATAATGCAGTTACTACTCAGTAYTTTTATTACTTCATAAAGTGTTCATCCTTTCTCAAGAAAGGATTGAGAATCAAGYATCACATTTCAAGCAGTTAAGAAAAACAATCCAATTCACAAAAACTGCTTTTCTTATATCTGAATACTGCCTAAAACATATCCAACAGACTCACCCTCAAGTAGACTTAAATGGTATTTAAACAGATTTATTGTTTCTTAGAATTTGGGAAATGAAGCAAAAGCAGGGTTATAGAGGTGAAAAACTGTCTTCAGTCATGCAGTAAGTTGTTGGYGCACAACCTAGTTCTCCTCTGTAGCCTGTTCACTAGAGAATTAATGCCTTCTATCATCATATTACTTAAATTAAGCAAATCCAAACTTTGATTTATAAGCTTGACTTTCTAATGTTTCCCTGGTTTTACTTCTGTCTATGCATATGCAAACCTGTATTTCATAACTGAATTACAGGGAAGGGGAGGTACTGAGAGAATAAATTAGTATTTATATACAATAACTCATGAAAACAAAGTTTATCTTAAGCAGCTTAAATATATCTGTATGTATATATATATATATATATGTGTCAAATGTCATGATGTACAAGATTGATAAATACAGATAATGCACATGATGAAATGAGTTTTAACTAAGTGTAAACTCTGACAGGCTCCAAGATGATATTACTTTATAGATAAAAGAACTGCAGGGTCAAACTTTGGCAAGATTTCCATATATGTTTCGAGATTAAATATTTTACTTTAAAAAAACAGACTGAAACACATTCTTCATTTCAAGATAACATATCTTATTTTCTAAATCTGAAGAAGAAAAATAAAATTGCTCAATAACATTCACTTATCCAGATGGAATTATTTACAGATGCAGAACTAAATGCATACATAGCTGCTTGCAGGGTTTGAATCTTGTTTGTAAGATAAAAACAGATATGMATGCTTTCATATTTCTAGAATTTTGAAAGGGCTGTAGCAGCTACAGCTTTATTAGGGCTCTTAAAATAAATGAAAATTTGTAAGAGGGCATAGACTTTTAGTACCACAGTGCAGAAACAYAGCAGGAGAGCACATTGATATCAAGCACACTCTTTGGCCCACAGTCGAGCCACACTGTGGCAATGTTCACCTGAGCTTTGGCTGCCTATGAATCCTGTGCTGTCTCCGAGCATGTAATGCTGAGTCCCTCTGGGAGGGGATTCRTGACTGTCTCTGGCACCATCATAAGAGTCAAAGGAATTACAGAATATTGGATTCTGATCATGCCTGAGCCTGCCTAGCCTCTTTCTGCAGAGACAAGTCACACAATTTATTCAAACCTATGCTCAAAAATGTCCATTCAATATGAACTCAATCAAATTTAGATGTGTTCAGAATCATCCCTCACAACACAAGTGAAACCAGAGCTGCTTCTCTACAGGCTACATATAAAAAGCTGAAAACTACGTTCCCCTTTTCATAATTCTGATCCTAACTACTTTTTTYCCCCTCCATTATCCACATTTCAAAGATCTTTTATCACATCACATTTTCAGGATGCTATTAAATGCTAATTCYGTAAGTGTAATAATTAATTCCTTGTACATTGATGAACTTATTTCAGATTTAGAGTATGCATTTCTATAAAAATATGTTAATTGAAGATTTGCAAATGCTCTGTATTTAATATATGAGATAAGGTAACCATAGTTTTAAAGAAAAATTAATTGATAACAAATTAAAAGGAGCATTTCAAATTAACTGAGATCAGTAAAAAATAAAAATACTGTGCTTTACCTAAAAGTAGTTTTCCTGGTAGTTCCATATTATAAAAGCTAATAATGCACCTACAGATTTGTATTTTAACTTGAGAGCTTGGCACTCTCATCAAGTGACCTGTTAGAGGGAGAAAGAAATGAAATTTACAGACTTTATAATTTTTTTAGAATGTATTCTTAACACAGTATTTTTCTTTTTACAGCACTTAGCACTTCCTTTTGTCATAGCCCCTACAATTCTGTAATTTCATGTGAAGTTTAATTGCAATATATTCAAGGGACAGAGACTCCCACATTGGAGAGGACAAAGGGGTCTTAGAAGAGTAGCATAATTTTAATCAAAAAGTCAAGGTGCTTATAAGACACTAGATGTTATTACAGAAGTTGTGGAATTCTGAGGAAAGCTACCACACTAAGCTGTTGTAATAATTATCATGTCATTAGAAACTCTTCTTCTAAGCAGATATGAAATGAAACAAGGGGAGCATAGAAAGAGATCTTTTTCACAAGTTAATGAGAATTTCATCTACAGCTACCAGTGTCTAATATGAATAATATAAACAATCTTTGACATTTTAGTGTATTTTTGGACATATAACTCTAAAGAGCACCTGGAACCATCTGCAACCAAGTGGTCATTCTGCTGCCTACTTGGATCTCTGMAAATAAAGAATTCTAAAAATATTTTTTATCCATTTCAAGGAAAATATTTCTTTCATGTCTGACAGGCTGATTGTGCCACTTTTTTTACCATTTATGTCTTACTATTAATTGAGCTGTATTTTCATTCCTGCTCTATTCTTAAACTTTTTGACCTACAGTGCTTACAGTATTTTCTTTGGCAATCACAAATACGATGCACAAAAAGATGTAAAAGCTTCATAAAAAATATTTTGTTATTAGAGGTCTGAAGAGTTTTCTGAAAGATGGAAGCTCATGGCTCAGATGCAACAAGAAGCTGAAGCTAGAAATTACTACTCTTAGTAAGGCATGKCATTAAACTGTTTTGTACTTTGCTTTTGTAGGTGATAGTTGTCAGGGTTTTCGGTTTTGAAGGTTTGAGCTGTGAGTCAGGAGTTGGTCTTCCATTGGTTGCAAAGAAGAAGGAAAGATACATGTTCTGGGAATCTCAAGTTTCAGTGTTTATAGAAGTACACCAATTTCTCAGATCAAAATTAARTGAAACAGGGTATATACAGGTTTAGTTCTTCATCTGTACTGATAAAATCTTCTCATGTAGCTTTTGGCATTGGCAAATATATAATTCTGGTAGCTAAACTGCATGTTAGCTGCAGAGCAGAGTAAAAATAGCTTCTAATACTAAAAAGCATGGAGGAATGAATGAATAATTGAAAGAATTACCTACATTTACTAAGGAGTAACAAGAAATTAAAATTATACTAATAATACAGTTGATTTTATTGTGGCATAATAATAATTTTATTGTGGCATATCAGGTTACACTYACCCAGTTGTGCAATGGATTGTGAAACTTCAACGGCATAGTTTGCCTCATCAAATGATTTCTTTTTGTGAAACGGTAACCTGCAAAATGAAATTTAAAAATATTACAACTATGCTTTAATCAAGTCACCAGAAAAGTTCAGTAGCTTTTCTCTTCTTCCTTGATAATTTTTGCCGGTATTTTTTCTAAGATGAATGCATTCTTTGCCACGCCAATTTATGTTGAAAGTTCTGGTTTCACAATCTGCAATTACATGTTGGCAATTAGTGGTACATATTCATAGATAATATTTTCATAATTCAAATATGATGCAATAAGACATGCTRAATAAACAAATGTCATTTAGACAGGGACAACTAAATCCTACAACCTAGAAAGTATCAGGCTGTTGCAGAGCTAGGCTATGTACAGACATGTGCAGAGGTGGAAAAAACCAGATCACATCTCTGGGCAAGACCTCTTGAAATGGATAAAAGTAAAACCAATAAAGTGACTCCAAATAGACCAACAACACATTTATTTTTAAAACAGGATATGAAGAAATACTCAATAGCATACTCAAAATACTCAGATATAAACATGTAGGTGCTGAAACTGTCTAAAAGTAAACATTACAACAGTGTGCTAAGGTCTCTGCAGCACATAGAGTAGAAGCAGGTTTACCTCTGTAAACACTGCCAGAGAAACAAAAAGGAGAGAACAAATAATGAAAGAAATGTTGGGGAGGCAGGGGAGGGAGAAACAAGACATCATTGAAAAAAAAAAGTGAAAAGAAGACAGGTAAGCAAAAGTGGTAATGAAAGAGTGGAATATTTGACTGAAGAAATTCATGTATCTGAGACTGAATTTTGAAAAAAAAAAAAACAGCCCCTGCCTCTGGTTAAAGGCTTCTCTGTCATGTGAAGTAGTAGTGAATTGTGATGGAATTTCCATAGTACAGAAATTAAAGCACAATCCTAGGGTGCAATTTTCCAAAATATATTCATTGTGGAAACCACAATTAGTGCTGAGATACTCYAACAGACAAAAAGTCTCACAGCTACATTTTATCTACTTTATACTCTCATTCCCAGGTTTGTCATGCTTCTAACAAACACCAAGGAAAATTAAACTTCAGGATGTACCTCCTCATTCCCCACTGTGTGGCAGCAAAGAAAAGCAGTACAACTGAGGATGCTTAGGGAACAAAAAGATTCAGCTGAGGAGTCCTGTGTTTATTAAACTTAACAGCTGAGAGAAAGCTATGTAAAAATGTATTTGAATATCTGTTTCACGATGCCACTAATTTTTTGTCTAGTTGTTTGTTTTTTCTTCTTCCTTATTCTCTTCAATTGAAATGAAGTAACTGTAGGAATAACTGTAGTTACAAGAAAACCGTAAGTAACTTTACTGAAGGAGAAAACTGACAACTGTGGTAACAACTCAATTCTATTCTACAGATTACTTAAAGTACAGTATGACAACAAAGATGCCCAAGAGCTCATGCAATATATTTTAAAGTAAATAGAAATCCTGTATCCTATTGATGTTCATTYTCTTCTGTAATATGGCTTGTCATTTTGTAAACCTTACCTTCAGGTCTTAAAGTGCCTTCGTGTCACCCTAAGCCTTTAAAATCACTGAAGAACTTGTTTGAAACAGCAGAACACACCTCACCATTACTTAGCTGCTGAATCTTTTGAGGTCAGCAGTCCCAGAACGAAAGGCAATAAGACACCTTGGGGAATCTGGCTTCCAAGCAAGCTGGGGCCAAGTACAATACAGTTTTGACTTATGTAATATGTAACTGCACAGATACTGAGCCACTAAAATAGGTCTCTCCTTCATGTCAAATTGAACACACGGAAAACAGCTGTTGAAAGGGAAGCATTATACAATGGATATCTTGCAGATACAGGTGCTTTGTAGATAYATGCTGTGTGGATATGTCAGTTGCCTTAGAAAATGTATGAACCTGTCAGTAAGCAGTGTTTAAATCTCTAAAAGATGGGCTGAAGTACTTACCCAAATAATTTAATAAGTTCACATAAAGGCTCGGTGAAAGCTTCTTGTTCATTCACTTTTTCTGCACACAGGTTAAGAATTTCGTTAATTTGTGCTACATCCTTAAGGGGCTTTTAATGAAAAATTAAGGAAATCAGATCATCTGTATCACTATATATCAGAAGAAAAAGCTGAAAACTGTGTTCATCACACTCCCAAGACACAACCACGAAAAAATAAGACCAATGTTYCCAAAGTTAGGTGTTTTAAAGAAGCATGTGAGTCAATACTTAGGCTTTTTGACACAGCCYTCCTTTCACAGAAGTACAACTTTCACAAATCCAATTTAGGTGTATTCTCAGYTGAACTCATTGGAAGTTCAGCACTAAATACCTAAAAATGTAGGATGAAAAGTTTTTACACCACAGTGTCAGATTTAGCTATCTAAATTGTGGTACTCAAATTGTTTTCTACTCTAGTCCCAAGTGACTAACTGAAGTTTGAAAATCTGGATCCAAATACATACTGAGATTATTTAATATAGAATAGAGGCACAAAATCAAAACTGAACATATAACTGAGACTGAGAAGTTACTACCAAACCACTGACTCATAGAAACTGTCTTTAAGTACACAACTCAATTGTGAAGTAATGTGATKCCTTAAATCACTGTGTAATTATCTGAACTGTATAAAAATAATCCTGTTTTTCCATATGCCTATATTCTCCCTAGTACTTCTTGTTATTGGAAGCCTTTCAGTTTGTACTGTAAATATGAAAAAAAAAATCAGATAAGTGAATCTGACTTCATTGCTCCTTAAAATGCCTCTTTATTGGAATTCATTGCTATTTTATTTGCTGTTTCTTAAGTAGTGGCAATAATTATGCTTTTGTATTCTGAGTTGAAAGTATATCAGTACATTTTGGACACTTTGAACCACTGTACAGGTGAGAACCCTCTATTGAATTTTGGGACAAATGAATCTAATATCCAAGAATCTTGCCAGCCCACCAGCCTTGGCTGTGTGCACACAAGGAGACCAGTGATGAGAATGTATGTGGATCATCCCTGTTGTCCATGTGGAAGCACAGTACAGCATCAAATACTTTGCTGAAAAGTCAGAGTATGAYCATACATAAAAGACCATGACTTCAGAATTCTACAGTGGCAAAAAGGATACAAGCCCATTATCAAAATGCTTGGCTACTTTCTTGAGAGTTTTCAGCTGCTCTTTTTCCAAATCTTTCTTAAGTAAAAGAATGAAAAGCAGTTAATTGCAGTTTGCCTTAGAACTTAATAATTAAATAATTATGGTTATCCCCTTTTAAGTTTAAATGAAAGTACAAACCAGATTAAAAAAATTACAGGACACAATGAAATTCTGAAAGTGCTTTGCAGCAGGATTAACTCCATGATCAAGCCTCATTTCTAAGTACAAAGTCTGTTCTCTTGTAACTGAAGAGGCTTTTAAAATCCCCATTCAAATGTGTGGACTCCTTTTAAATTCTTTGGGATTATTTGTAAAGCAACTAAGAAAACCAAACCAATGTCACATATAACATAAATGTGTAAACATGTAAATCTACGTGGCTTAGAGTGCTCTGCACCACTAGGAAACAGCYTTCAAATTCAAAGCTGAAAACAACTGAGGTGAGGATTTGTTAGGGTCTGTCAGCRATGTGCAGCATTCATTTCAGCTCTCCTGAGCACCTCCCACTTGAGGCAGGMCAGGAAGTTGTTTCAGAATCCTTTGGGCATTTTATCATGTAGCTTATGTTCTCTACAGAAGCAGTAAACAATATCACCCAGCACCTTTTTCTTCAGTCAGTAAGTTAATTCTGTCATCTCTGTATTAAGAAAGGGGGAGAGGGAAAAAATACAATTACTTTCCTGTGGGTATTAATTTAAAATGTGCCAGTTTCAATCAARTTCTTGTTTAAGAATCTAAATTATCCATACTTTGGATCAAAATTATKTGATGGATTAGTGAATTTAATCTGCCAAATCATCTTGTGAGGACTAAAAATAGTCTGTGGAAGCCCATGACATGCTGTTTCTCCTACAACTGTGTGCCTRGTCAGTTGTATTGATTCTTCAAAACTGACCTTTCCATATTTCTTCTTCATTTAAAATTGCTTCCCTGGAGAACCATTAGCAGTTTTCTTGGGCAATTACATAAACTCAGGCCATATTTCCAGTAAGGTATATGTATGTATATCTGTTTCCCAACTGTAGATTTCGGTACTCTAAAATTCTCAAGTGGGCTAGAAATTCTGCATGTCTAGTTTTTGAATGCACACACGTTTGTCTTTAAGTGCCTRTGTGATCTTCTCTTTCTCACTCTATTTTTAATATAAAACCAGAATTGGAAAAAAATGCATTTTTAAAATTACAAGTATAATCTTCAGAAGCATTCAAATATCAGAAGAGATACTCAGCTTTGAGCTCTGTAGCTCAAGCCACCTGAGCTTATATAATAAAGTCATATGAGTTTATTCAGGGCAGGTGCTATAGTAGCTGTATAAATTTGTCTGAACCCCATTACTCCCTGTGTAACAGATAGCAAGGTATCAGGGTTACTTACTGAGTTATCAGGGTTACTTACTGAGCCAGAACCTTTGAGTAGTTTGATGACGAGATCCAAATCCACTGATCTCAGTTGTGCATCCTGAAAAAAGTCGCACTTTTAACCTTTCCATTTTAAACTTTGAGATTTTGCTTTAAAGGCGCTTAAAATGTGAAGTAGCCACGTTAAACATGAATTT